TACTAAATACTCCAAATCAGATTAACTAAGGCCCATGTGGTTCCATTGAAAATGTAAGCTTATCCTGAATTTGTGCCAGTATTTCTGTTGCAAAACATAGGCTACAGTACTTTAAATGATCTTAGAATTTTTCGCTAACAAATTAGATTGGGTGCTGCTGTTGTCAGGAAAAGAGGTGCAATCATTCTCCCATATGCACATACTCATTACCTATTGGCACACCCAGAACACCCAAGATGGCCATCATTTGTTAACTATTGAAATGCTCCCTACACATCTTAGTATATAGTGTGTATACTCCTACAGTACCTCTAGCCTCCAAACTGGCCCCTCAAGGGAGAATCTGGTTTCATCTGTTTCACTGTGACACCCATCCAACTAGGGGTACAACAGCCTAGTCTGCTAAACTCCTCCTGTCCTCTGCGTTCTGCCGAAGCATCCACTGTGTTTATTCATGTTCTATATTGTTCCGTTGCAAAAACACAAAATCTTAACGCAATATAAAAAATGTTAATGCTTATTCATTCATTTGCTTTAACGCCTTCTGAACACACATGCCTCTGCATATTATCCACAGCTTGATTACACCATGTTTACAAAGAAGTAGGTCAATCCTAACCCTGGTGTCTGACACTGAGCATGCATGAGTCAGTGAGAATTCTGGGAAAGGGGATAGGTGATTCTGCTTGTTATCACGCTTGGGAGCAGTAGGAAAGGTCTGCAGTTCACACACACACACATGATGACACGCTGATCTCTATAGCTGCCCCACAGTTAAACTAGTCCTCTCGGACTCCCTGGATAGTGGATCTCCACATGTACAGTATTTTCTGTAATGAGACTAGTGAAAGAGCAGAGCTGGAGGGCTGTGTGTGTCTGTCTTGTTGTAGAGATTCTAGGTCAATAACTACTCTACGCTTAAATGCTCCATGAGCTGAATGCTGTCCCCAAAAACCTGCCTTTAACATGGTGTCGTTCTCTGTAGAGGAGCTCCGAGGAAGTCAGTGTTTGCGTCCCAAATGGCACCCTATTCCCTACATAGTGCACTACTTTTGACCAGAGAATGGCACCCTATTCCCTACATAGTGCACTACTTTTGACCAGAGAATGGCACCCTATTCCCTACATAGTGCACTACTTTTGACCAGAGAATGGCACCCTATTCCCTACATAGTGCACTACATTTGATCAGGGCCCTGGGAATAGGGTGTAATTTGGGACACTGCCAGAGACTTACTCAGAATTCCTCTACAGAGGCAGCAGAATCTTATCCTAGTCACTTTATTGTAGGGGAGATATAAGCCTGCTTTCTGTTTCCCCAACAGAGACCAAGCGTTTACCGCTGTCAGGAGGGAGAAGAGCTAAGCTAGGCCAATCAGCAGGGACATTTGCAGCGTCATGCTGGCTCGCTGGCTCACTGCGTCAAAGAAGTACAGTATCAACGCTGCAGGCCTGAGTCTGCTTGTTTGTCAGCGATGAGGTCTTGGAAGTATTATTGTTGTTTGAATGTAATCAGCCATCTTTTGGTCCTAGCAAAGCAAATAGCTATAGTCTTATCATTTCAGGATTTCAGCATTATAGAAAATAAGCTATCTTCATCTTCAGAGATTTTATAGCCAATGGTAATTGTATGATAAATTGTAGTTACTAATATTAAGTGCAAGTCAACTTGAAATTATATTTTAAAAGCTTATTTCCCTATATTGACTTGAGTATAATGTAGCTATAAAATATACAGTATCACTCTGAGTAAAGGGCCACAATAGAACACAGGAGCAGCCCCTCTCGTTCTCTAGTAATGAATCATTCATAACTGAGGATTTGAATAATGCAGTGAAATAACATGAGGTGTTGGCGTGGTGTCTGTGTTCCTCCCCAGAGAGATGAATGAATGACAACCACAGCAGGGGACAGAGGAGAGACACAGTCCCCCGATTATAATAAGACCTGGTCATTATTACATGTTTGGTCAGTTAGGAGACGCTCTTATCCAGAGCGACTTACAGTTTAGTGAGTGCATACATTTTTCATACTGGCCCCCCATGGGAATCGAACCCACAACCCTGGCGTTTGCAAGCGCCATCCTCTACCAACTGAGCTAAAGGAGGCCTAATAACACATTCTTTATTTTTGCCCTGGCTGAAGACTCCTATGGTGTCTAGGAGTCTACAGTCACAATTCAGGGCAACCTTTCTTTAATTATCTATTGTTTAGGTTAAAGGCCAGCAAACAAAATAGGTTATTTCTCTGTTTAAAGACCGTCCGTCTGTGAAGCTGAAACTGGTCAGCAGAATTGGCTCCAGCTTGGTTGAGGAGAGAGACACACGTCTAACTTGATGAGGTCATGTAAGAACTGCAAAATGATTTGACGCTGCACTTCAAAAGGTAAACACTAGCATGATTCACCTATCCTACAAAAGTGTCAAGCAGAAGCATTTCAGGAACTTGACTTGTATTGATCCAGCCAACCATTTGAACAAAATGCTGATGACGTATCCTATAATTCAACATTCCCAAAGACAGCTAGCTGAAAGCTGTGAGTAAGTAGGACGACAACAACCCTGTCATGCTAATGCTACACTGAACTTTAAACCTACAGTATACTGTAGCTGTGAATGTTGAATGATTATTGTCTTTCTTACCTCGCATAATGATATCAGGCAGTCTGTCAGCGCTCCAGCACTCAACCCTGTAACCTCGTTCCTTACCAAATCAATTGTTAATGGAGCTACTGTAGTATGTTATTACATGTTGCTAGGAAGAACTGGGCAGGGTCACCAATACACAAATCCATGACTATGGTTGGCTGAGGCTCTGAGTAGTCATGGAAACTGGGATACCTTCTTAAACACACCCCTTTAGGAGCCAGCTTGGAGAAGCTGTCATCACCAGAGGGGTGTGTAGAGAGGTGTGAAGAAGGGTCATGTTTGTAACACTAGTGTAAAATGTCTGTGTGTCACTCTCTGGGACTCACCTCTCTTGATGTGTTTCAGCTGGCTCTCTGCTTCATCTCTCTCTTCAGTCAGTCTCTTGCACTGAGGAACAGGAATGAATGGGGTCACGTTCTACAATCATATGCAGGTCACAAATAAACTAACACAAATAGATCTCCATGCACAATCCATTTAAGTGTAGTTAATTGATTACAGTAATCCTTGGTCCTTCATTGTTGTAGGGTACTGGACTCACTAGACCATGACACTTTCCTTCTGTCAACACACTGTTCCAAAAAACATTTTAGTCATTTAGCAGACACTGTTATCCAGAGCAACTTACAGTAGTGAGTGCATACATTTTCATACTGGTCCCGCCATGGGAATTGAACACACAACCCTGGCGTTGCAAGCGCTGTGCTCTACCAACTGAGCCACATGGGACTCCTGTGATCTGCTGTAGGAATATCTCCCTATAGTTTCAGTTTGTTGGACAGACAAGGGAGAGGGTTCTACATGGTTTATATATGCCACTTAGTAATGGGTGGTCAGAGTATACGGAGTTCCTCTGAGATATTGGTAATAGTGTAGATGGAAAACAATGGTACTTCTACAATTCAGAGTACATTCAATAGGTAGTATGTGGCCTATATTGGGTCATTATCCATTAAGGCAGGATAGACCTAGATTTCCTTACCAATTATTCTATAACAGCCAAAGGAAGCTCTTCCCTAACATCTGTGTATTTCTGCAAGGCCCCTAGCTCTGCCAGGGACGTTCTGATCAGAAATGGCCTTGATTAGCCTATTGTCCCAGTTTCACCCACTTTCTGCTACAGATTAAAAATAAATAAACAGTAGTAGCACCACTGTTTTAAATAGGCCCACTGTGTAATCATGCTTGAAATAACATTTTCTTTATAGATATTTAAAAATATGCAAAGGTTTAAGAAATAGGGCTACTTGGTGGGACCTTTTAGTCAAGGCCTAATGTAATAAATGTATGTGTGCATAGATTTATAGTGAATAGATTATTGCATTTCTAGAAACAACAAATTAGGTAGTACTGAAATAAAAAAGGTGTCAAAATGACATATACAATCTAATACGATGCACCAAATAACCAAACCTCTAATCTGGTTTGTTCAACTGAGATCCAATCATTATTAGTTTAACTGCCAAAATCTCGACGACACCGGGCTTTCCTATCAATGGCAATAGCGAGATTTTGGGAGGGGTCGGCCCTTTGATTTCTCGCAGCATAGCCTATCTACGCCTAAGAATAATGTGCAGGGGGAAATAAAAACATGTAACCTTGACCTCGTTATGTCTACTATGTTACTTCTGTAATCATTGACAAAGGTCTAAAATACATGTAACAGAAGAGCATCTATTACCTGCATTTTCTGGGTATCTCTCGCCTCCGTCCCACATCCTTCCATCTGCACCAGCCCCGATGATGAAGACGGTAGCATTATAACCCCCGCCGATTACTAATCTAATATCGTGGACTGTATGATATCGTATTATAGAACTAAAAAATTACTAGGCTACTGGCAAGTCCGCTGATACGTCTTAGAGAGAAAGATCATTTTATATCTATAGGGGATGGAGAAGACTGCTCCTTCTGTTCCGGCACACTGGATCCTTTCGCTGATAGCAGCGCCTGCCCGGGTCCCCCCCCCCCCCCCCCCCTCGATCCCCTATTCACGGTTTATTGCGCATGCATCCTCATGTCGTATTCGGCCACATTTGCTGATGAGCATGAACGCTCCACCCCTTCAGATTGATTGTGCATTGTAATTAGGCTAAACGTTTCATTCAATGTCTTCACTGCTAAATGTAACACAATTATTATTATTATTATAATAATAATGATAATTGCCCATCTCTCTGCAGACTGACAATAATTTATCATCTTTGCTTCAGAATGCTCAACAACACACATTTGGTCAAAAGCCGTGTTCAATGGAATTAGGATCAGGGTGGGATTCAGCAAATCAGAAATATAAATTATTCTTGAGGAATAAAGTCCTATGGTGAATGAATGAGGGCTTGTTTTAATTAAGTAAATCATTAAATACAGAATTCTGAATCCCCCCCAAAAACAATACAAATATATTCCATTATCAGGTACAGCACATGGAATACCCTCATAAGACAATTCCATTAGTGTTGCTAGTAACACACAAGATTGACAGTTGATACAAAAACAAGTTAAAAAGGTGACATTTCATCACTACAAAAATATAAATAAATATTAAGCCATTAACAGATCATATAAAAACACTCAAACTGCAACATGTGGGATTTAAATATGTTCACAGAACAATCCATTCTTCATTCCTCTTGAAATGATGTGGAACACTACAGAATTCATCTTCTTTAGTACACCTTTGACCTGACAAGCAAAATGGAGGAAAAACTGATGAGCATGAAACACTGAGCAGGGTCACTGAGCACATCAAGTCACATCCAGCATCACTGATATAGGACCTTTACAGTTAAATGTTAAGCAAGGTTACATCCATCATTACTTATATAGGACCTTTACAGTGAAACATTATGCAAGGTCACAGTTTCAGAGCAAAGCATAATACTTTCATTATGTAATTGTATTTAAGAATTTGTTCTTAACTGACTTGTGTAGATAAATAAAGGTTAAATTCAAATTAATTGATCAATAATCAACAATTGATGAGGCCTAAAACCAAGGAATCTCCCCAGTCCAGACAGAAGAGCATGTCATGCATAGCCTGGGTGCCAGTTTGTTTCTGTTCTCTTGCCAACCCTTTAAATGTAAATTCCATAAGGAGATGGCAAGAGAGGAGAAAGAGACTGGTACCCAGGCTACTGTCATGTCATGTTTCTCCTACCAGGAGAAAGAGACTGGTACCCAGGCTATGCCATGTTTCTCCTACCTGGATAAAGAGACTGGTACCCAGGCTATGCCATGTTTCTCCTACCAGGAGAAAGAGACTGGTACCCAGGCTATGCCATGTTTCTCCTACCTGGAGAAAGAGACTGGTACCCAGGCTATGCCGTGTTTCTCCTACCAGGAGAAAGAGACTGGTACACAGGCTATGCCATGTTTCTCCTACCTGGAGAAAGAGACTGGTACCCAGGCTATGCCATGTTTCTCCTACCTGGAGAAAGCAGATATGGACATGATTCCCAGCAGCATCTCCAGACTGTAGAAGCAGAGTAACACAGCATTAAGGATGAACTCCAGGCGCAGGACAAAGGTCTGCAGCATCAAGTAGTACACAGACAGCACCGTGCACGGCACCAGGACCAGCACACTCACTGACATGGCCAGAGAACGCTCTGTTAAGTTCCCCTTCCAACCTGGGACAAGTGTGGATGGAAAAAAACGTTAGCACATGATCACAAGGAAGGACATAATGCATAAGCCTAACGGTAGGTGCCAAATAGAACTACCAGATGCCATAAAGGCAACAAATACGACAAGTGATAAAGCACACAACAATGTAGGCTACATAATGTGAAGAATCTTATTTTAATGAACACATGTGATGATGCAGAAGCTGCCCACAATACAGTTTAACGAAACACAAACCGTAAAATATTCGGAGGGACTCCAGGCCAAGGAAAACAAGTAGTAGCACAAGGTCCAACGTGAGACTAGCTGGTGGGTATGGTAGCAACAATCCTGTAGAAAGGCATATTTAGAAATCAATATTTTATTTTTTGCCTGATACTGGGTGTGCAAAACATCAGGCAGTGAGTGATTGATTAAACATTAGTTTATGTCTCTTGTGTGACCATTTGAGTAGACTACAAACCTTTGTAAACAAACATCAGACCCTCAGCAAGGAAGTAGGCAGCAAAATACCAGCCGTTGAGGTAGAACAGGACCTGCAGTGGTGTGGAGGACAACTGAGCTGTGTTGTTAAGGTCATATCTCAGACTTCCAAATGGTAGCCCACTGGCAGATGATATAACCAAGGGGCTATGATATGAGTAGGTAGGGTAAACCCGTTTCGGTAATTCTGGTAGCCTATATCATCAACATCAATCACAGCACATTTTTTGACCAATTCAGCCGTTTTTACCTGATTAAGTCCAATACCATAGGAAATGAATTATGAAAGTTCCATTTATATTCCTAAAACTTCAGTTGAAGACGATGCTGTCGCTGCTTCCTGTTGACAAGACATTTAGATAAAAACACTGTTTTAACGTGTCCAAATAACCAACACGCAGAAACAGTTTGTGACATATTGAAAACCTAAACATAAAATGTACTATCTACACATAAATGTGCAACAATAGTAATCATATTACTTTTTTTTATTTTTTTTTACGAGCACCTTAAAAACCGCACACGCACCAAAAACCCTGTTGTATCGATTAGGGGGGAAATCAGGTTGTATGCGCTGTTGAAACTACCACAACTCAAAAACCACATGGAAGCTGGATATAATTGTACATCACCGGTTAGAGAACCACCTGCAGAAGACAGTCAGCTACATTTTGGAATGTTGCATTTTGATACGGGGGTCACCAACAGAAAGAGAAACGCAACACGGTTTTGTCAATCACTCCTCTCGATTATCACGTTGAACTCAAATCACTCGAGGGGGACATGAGGTTGCACGTCCTGTTAAAACTAACACAGCTCAAAACCCACATGGAATCCGGGAATAATATGTCCATCACTGGTTAGGAGACAACTTGTAGAAGACACCTAGCTACATTTTGATTTGAGTGTACGTGGTGAACATGTGAGCTTGTAACTGTAGTAACAAACTGCCCGCATAGGGGAAATTCACATAATATAAAATAATTAAATACAACAAAATAATGGAATATTTGATGATAGCAAATTAAGCACACTCTGTTTTTTTTTTTTACAACAATGACATCTATTTCTTACTAGTTAAACATGGACAGAGCCAACTTTTCCATGTAAGCAACATGTTACTGTGTGCTCTAGACCAGGACCACATTGAATTGTTTTAATGAACATTTCTAACAACAGATTAAACTAATTTTGGCAAAGGGATCCGTGGAATAAGTTAAGAGGGTACAATACAATCCAATGTAATCTTATTCATCTACAATGGTATGTTCTTAACCCTGGGCAGAATGGGCCTGGGAGGCTCACAGATATTGGTATCCAGTGCTACAACTATTTTACATTTTTTAACTTAATACTTCATGTATTCCACCCATAAAAAATAGAAATAAACATAAATGCACTGTAGATTTAAAAGCTAGAATCCTTAGTTGCTACATGCATTTTTGGTATGGTTTACCATGCCATACCAATAGATTATTGAAGAACATAACTTATAAATGCCTCATGAGCTTAGTTCAACTGTTGTACCCAATCAGAACCCAAAATAGCTTGTTTTACTCTGTAAACAATGTAAACGTAAACAAACATTTTATAGCCTCAAAACATTGGTTAAACTATAATTGTTATATCATGGATGGTCAGTCCTTGCATCCCATAGCTCTGTCTATGAATTTGAGAGTGGTTACATTTCTCCAGGCCCATCCCTCAGCTTTTTACCCAAAAACAGGGGCGGGGTCCCCGCTTTGTTATTGTTTCAATGAAGGTCTCTAGCTTTAAAACTGAAATGTTTTCCCTCTGTCTCATGGCATAATGTGTAGAATTGCAGGATATTACCTTGAAAACGGCCACATTTTCTCTCGATGCCAAGAGGTGGGCCTTTCACAATGTTCCTTCCCAGAGCCCGAGACTTGGTTCGTCCCGCATAAAACTCCTTGTATGCTATTTTTTATTTTTTTATGGCATTCGAGTTATGAGGAGGTCGCTGATGAATTTGCTATCACAAAAAAGGGTGAGAAACCCTCCTCTAGACTAGAGCTTCCATAGTGACTGTGCAGCAGTCTGAACCTTGGCTTTGACGTCCCTCATATTGTGTCCCAAATCGGCACCCTATTCCCTATAGTACACTACTTCTGACCAGGACCCATAGGGCTCAGGTCAAAAGTAGTGCACTATATAAGGAATAGATTGCCATTTTGGTGTACACTAACGTTAACTGCCACAGAAGCTAGCTAAAGACATAGCTGACGTTAACGTTAGCTAGCTAGCTATTAAATGCAGTTGATACAGATTCTACATTACAGCAAAAACAAAGGATACAATTGGATGTTTTCCTGCAAGAATGAGACAAATCAGCAGTTAAAGAATTCTTCTTCTAAATCATCCCTTTTCATATAAATTATCTACAGGCTTACAGTGATGTATTTCCTAAATGTCTGATTGGCACACTTGCTTGAACATCAACATCACAGATAGAAAAATCTGTCAACATGCTGCTGCTGTTCATGATAGAACGCTACTGTAGCTAGCTAACGTTAGCTGACTAGCATAGCTGGCTAATTGGCTAGCTAGCTAGTTAGTAGATAACGTTACTTCTCCCATGCTTACAGTAGCCTACTCAAGTCAATTATCTTGAAAGCTCAAATCATATCCACATTTTATTTTTTATTTCACCTTTATTACATTATGACATGCGATTAATAACCATAGACATTTACCATTCACAACTTGTCTACACATTTACGAAAACTATTTCCCACTCACCAGACACCGCCATGTTTGTTTACCATGGAGACAGACGCCGCACCCATAGAGATAGATAGAGGACTCTAGTGGCCAAAAGGTTGTTTTAGAAATGGGCAGCGCCATAGTCCCAGTTGGTATTACATAGAATGTCACGGCCCAGGCCGCCTGTAGGGAAAGCTACATGTGGTTACCTAGGTTACCCCATTGGCTCACAGCACAAACGTGACCCTTTTTCATTTGCAAAACTATATTTAAGAAAAGTACAACGTATCTAAAGATTACTTTTCAGCATTGCCTGCTCCCGAGCGTCCTCGCTACTTAGAAAAACGTAATATTGGTGGTGCTAGCAGCCACATGAGTGAGTGAGTGCTAGGTAGCTAGCTACCAACCGGAACATTAAGCTAGCCAAAACCAACAACTCAAACAATTGGATTACACAGCTACATGTAGTAAGTGGAGTTACAAACGGACTATACTAAACAAGTTAAATGTATTTCCTGTGACTAAATGTTTTCCACACACATAGCTACGTGTAGCCTACTTGGACACCAGGTCCCCACATAGAATAGCCTGAAGCCACAGGGCTCTTCTCGCAGGCTCTATTTCCAAAGTGGGATCATTGCGAACCGTAGGTCAGGATTTTTTACCTGGTTACATGTACATTGAACAACACAGCGGCTTTTCGGCATGTTTTGTTATTTCTGTATAACTAAAAATCGACTACGAAGTTGGCTCATTTACACTGGGGGTCATGGGGAAAGAATGTTTGTTTTCCCCAATTTGTGGGCGTGATCGAGGGAAAATCCTTATTATTACGTGAATATCGGTTGCGGTCCAAACGCAAAGTAGACAGCCCTCTGCCCTCGAATTATGTTTTACATTGTCACATCCGAGTGTACCTTAAATGTCCATTGCCCAAGCGAGGGAGAGTGATAATTGGACAGGCAATGTCCTTGGTGGAAATCTTGAAGTTGAGCCTAAAAACAACATTTTACATTTTTAGTCATTTAGCAGACGCTCTTATCCAGAGTGATTTACAGGAGCAATTAGGGTTAAGTGCCTTGCTCAAGGGCACATCGACATATTTTTCACCTAGTCGGCTCGTGGATTAAAACCAGCGACCTTTCGGTTACTGGTACACCGCTCTTAACCACTAAGCTACCTGTCTCACAACCAACCTAAAGCTATTGATGTACCTAGCAAGCTAACGTACCTAGCTAGCACTCCTGTCAGGTAGTTGCCCGTACCTAGCTAGCACTCCTGTCAGGTAGTTGCCCGTACCTAGCTAGCACTCCTGTCAGGTAGTTGCCCGTACCTAGCTAGCACTCCTGTCAGGTAGTTGCCCGTACCTAGCTAGCACTCCTGTCAGGTAGTTGCCCGTACCTAGCTAGCACTCCTGTCAGGTAGTTGCCCGTACCTAGCTAGCACTCCTGTCAGGTAGTTGCCCAAGCGAGGGCGAGTGATGATCGGAGAGGCAACGTCCTTGGTGGAAATCTTGAAGTTGAGCCTAAAAACAACCAACCTAAAGCTATTGACGTACCTACCAAGCTAACGTAGCTAGCTAGCTGGCACACCTGTCATATAGCTAGCTACAGTTACCCATAGCTGACTATCTAGTTTTATAATTTGGTCATATATTCCAATACATTTCAGAATTCCCCAAAATATGTTTATGACGCTAGATAGCTATGAGTCTGAGCCACTTTGAGAGTCATATTCCCATTTGCCACGGATAAAATCAATGTCATCTATATATATTTTTAGAAAGCTAGCGTTGTAATTTTGTCTCACATGCTGAAAAATTCAGCGTGTTGATTAAATTTGACACTACGTTGCCGCCGGTGTTTGACATGCCACTACAGTTTACATTGAATTGTGGGTCATATCAAATCCCGCAAGTGATCAAATTTGTTCACTTGAGCCCTTGAGCTAAATAGATGGCCGAGGGGGAAACTGTTGTGAATTGGACCGCCCCTTAAGATTGCAATAAAACTGCATCTGGTTTCGACGTGGATTCCCTGAGGGAAAGTTTCTAGTGCCAGGGCTGACGGGGTAAAAAAATAGCATGACTGGATCGCAGCTATCGACTCGGAGTATTGAGAATTTTCAAAAATGTTAAGTAGTCTACTGGGTGGGACTTCCTATGGGTTAAGGAAGGATCACATAATTCCATCCAGGTAACAAGGAGGGATCATCGTGACGTGAGCAAACATTCCATAACTGCAGTTGGCAGAAAATCGCCAACCTTGGCTTTATACCTGTTCAAACAACACAGTTGTTTGCCAACAAATATATAAGTTCTAGAAGAAAATGGACTACTTCAAAATGGAGAAGGCTCAATGGCGCTGGGTTGTCACTAGTTACCACAACCACAAAGTTCAAATTGGCTATTTCATATTTTTATTTTATTTTTGGTCTTAATAGCGAAGGTGGCCCCCATGTACTTATCACAAACGCCTCATTTGCTAAAAGTTCGCCATAGTGTACAGTGCTCTCCGTTACTCTTTATTGTATCGGTATTAGCACAGTGTACAAGATCCCAATTCTAGCTCCAAGATGGCGGCAATTTAAAAAAACGAAAAAGTCGGTTGTGCTGATTAATAGGCACATTGAATCATGTTGCGCGCCATAGTTAAACAATTGTGTATAGCACTCAACTCAAACGATGACATCATATCTGAATTCCTCCATCTTTATGCACCTTCGCCATTTAAGATTAGGGTTAGGCATGAGGTTAGCAGTGTGGTTAGGTTTAAAATCTAATTTTAAGAAGATAAATTACAGAAATAGGCGTGGGGTTTTATGCCATAATTATGACTTTGTGGTAACTAGTGACGACCATGGCGCTGCCTGTGCTCTCACAGATCCCATAATGGGAGATACAATGATGCGATGTCTATCTAAGTCTAAATATGCTCACGCCTCATGTCCACCAGATGTGTTCAACTCTGCGTTCCGGCGGAAGTCATTCATTGTCAATGGAGCAGTCCGTAACGCTACGTTGGGGATTCCGTACTAGGCTGCGGTGCGTTGTGTGGGATGCCGCACTAGGCTGCGATGCGTTCTGTGTCCCGCATGCATTCAATATTTTCAACTCATGCGTTGCTTTACCGTGTAGTGGTACAAACGGAAGTACACACACAGACTCCAACTAGCTAGCTTTTAGTTAGTTGAAAAGCCAAGCAAGTGTGTCAAGTGCAGAAAATCCGGCCTAGACAACCAGAAAAACAAAACGCATATGCATCTGGTGGATTGTATTTCTGACCACACTCGGGTGGCTTGGTTCTGCAAGCTGGGACCCAGCTGCACAAGTTGTTTTTATGGTTACAATCAATGAATTATGGATACACTAGATTACTGACAGGGGGCGCTGTTTTGAAGCCACCATTGTAAAAAATATTTTGGAAGCTATAGAAATGCATTTATGAATGTCTACATTTGTTTTTGCCATGTTTTTCTATTACAGACATCTGAATACTTTTAAATTATATGTGAGCTAAACATAAAAATGAAATCAACATTTTCCTTCAAGTATAATTTGTAGAAAGTACTACTACTACTAATAATAATATGCCATTTAGCAGACGCTTTTATCCAAAGCGACTTACAGTCATGTGTGCATACATTTTTAGGTATGGGTGGTCCCGGGGATCGAACCCACTACCCTGGCGTTACAAGCGCCATGCTCTACCAATTGTTACTACAAAAAAAAAAAACTAATTAATTAAAGAAATGTCCTTGAAACATTTAATTGAAATACTGTAGAATTCCATTCATGCCAATGGAGGACTGCTCCTTCTGGGGAGTGCCAAAGCTTCTCATTGGCCAATACATAGCATCAGTCATCCAGGGTTTATATACATCATTGGTTACAATCCTGAACCTAGAGCAAACTATACTGAACAAAAATATAAAAACGCACAAAAAGCTTATTTCTCAAAAATGTTGTGCACAAATTTGTTTACATCCCTGTTAGTGAGCATTTCTCCTTTGCCAAGATAATCCATCCACCTGGACATGTGTGGCATATCAGGAAGCTGATTAAACAGCATGATCATTACACAGGTGCATCTTGTGCTGGGGACAATATAAGGCCACTCTAAAATGTGCAGTTTTGTCACACAACACAAAAGTTTTGAGCGAGCGTGCAATTGGCATGCTGACTGCAGGAATGTCCACCAGTGCTGTTGCTAGAGAATTGAATGTTAATTTCTCTACCATAAGCTGCCTCCAATGTCGTTTTAGAGAATTTGGCAGTACGTCCAACCAGCCTCACAACCGCAGACCACGTGTAACCAAGCCAGCCCAGGACCTCCACATGCAAGCTGGCGCCGACAGACATGGCAGCTCTGCTTCTAGCTCCTAAGCAACTTTGCAGTATATATTTTTTTTTGTGTGAATTATTTCTTACATTATTAGCCCAGAACGTTTTTTGTGTTAATACATACAGCCGGAAATAACTTTTGGATATCAGAGCGGCGGTTAAATCACCAGCATTACGACCAGGAATACGACTTTCCCGAATTGGATCCTTTGTTCGTACCCACCAGGGCAATTGAACTTATCCCAGAGGCTGCTCCAAGTCACCGCCGGCGGAGAAGAGGTATTCGGAGTGGACTTCTAGTCTGACTCAGGAGGTGGGCACACCATCCACTGCTTCCAAGTATATTACTCTGGACAATAAAGTAGACGAGCTCAGGGCGAGGATCTCCTTCCAGAGAGACATCAGGGACTGTAACATACTCTGTTTCTCAGAATCATGGCTCTCTCGGGATATATACTGTCCAAGTCCATACAGCCAGCTGGGTTCTCAGTTCATCGCGCAGACAGGAATAAAGAACTCTCATGGTGACATCCGGCTTCTTCACCTGCAGGATAGTCTGAGACGAGCCACCTGGACAGCTGATGAAACAGGAGTATTTCTGTCTGTAATAAAGCCCTTTTGTGGGGGAAAACTAATTCTGATTGGCTGGGTCTGAGTCCACAGTGGTGGGCTTGGCTCCAAAGTGGGTGGGCCCCTGCCCAATCATGTGAAATCCATAGATTAGGGCCTAATACATTTATTTAAATTGACTGATTTCCTTATATGAACTGTAACTCAGTAAAATCGTTCAAATTGTTGCATGTTGCGTTTATATTTTTGTTCAGTATAGAAGGCGGTGAATGTTATCTTGCTTGAATTATGTTAAATGACAAAAATGCAATAATTAATGCATGTTTATTAACAATCTTTTGGGAATGAAGTTCTATTTCAACTCACCTTGAAAACAAAATAACAAGCTAGAAAAACCAAATAGTTTTAATTCCAAGAACAGGATAAACAAATCAAGTTACAGAAAGTAGATCTGAGCTATTTTAAACACACACAAAAATCACAATATATGTAGGTAGGTGCTGTACATTTGTTCATATAATCGAATACAGATTAACGTAATCTGCAATCCCATTTATTGTTCTAGGATGAGTTTCACAAAGAGCCCCTCGTGGAGCAGGTAAACCTGTGGTCTTCTTCTGAGCGTAATATGGCAAAACCCTGATTCTCCACCCTCCTCCGGAAGTGTGCACTTGTACACTCCCCGTTAAATTGGGCCTAAAGACCGTCATCTTGTCAACTTCCTCCAGAGACGGACATCTTTTAGCTGGAGGCTGTGTCTTTACTTGAATATTCCTGTGAGACAACACAAATCATACAGGTAAAACATGTAATGTACACTGCAAAACAACTGCACAGAGATGGTGGTTGAATAATGTAATGAATAGATACACCCACTCTTTCCCCTCCATGATCATACTTTTTCAAACCTACACCCCTGTGATTTACAGTTGGAAGTCGGAAGTTTACATACACTTTAGCCAACTACATTTAAACTCAGTTTTTCTCGCAATTCCTGACATTTAATCCTAGTACAAATTCCCTGTTTTAGGTCAGTTAGGATCACCACTTTATTTTTAAAATGTGAAATGTCAGAATAATTGTAGAGAGAATGACTTATTTCAGCTTTTATTTATTTCATCACATTCCCAGTGGGTCAGAAGTTGACATACACTCAATTAGTATTTGGTAGCATTGTCTTTAAATTGTTTAACTTGGGTCAAACCTGTCGTGTAGCCTTCCACAAGCTTCCCACAATAAGTTGGGTGAATTTTGGCCCATTCCTCCTGACAGAGCTGGTGTAACTGAGTCAGGTTTGTAGGCCTCCTTGCTCGCACACACTTTTTCAGTTCTGGACACAGATTTTCTTTAGGATTGAGGTCAGGGCTTTATGATGGCCACTCCAATACCTTGACTTTGTTGTCCTTAAGCCATTTTGCCACAAATTTGGAAGCATGCTTGAGGTCATTGTCCATTTGGAAGACCCATTTGCAACCAAGCTTTAACTTCCTGAATGATGTCTTGAGATGTTGCTTCAATATATCCACATAATTTTCCTTCCTCATGATGCCATCTATTTTGTGAAGTGCACCAGTCCATCCTGCAGCAAAGCACACCCACAACATGATGCTGCCACCCCTGTGCTTCACGGTTGGGATGGTGTTTCTTCGGCTTGCAAGCCCCCCTTTTTCCTCCAAACATAACGATGGTCATTATGGCCAAACAGTTCTATTTTTGTTTCATCAGACCAGAGGACATTTTTTCAAAAAGTACGATCTTTGTCCCCATGTGCAGTTGCAAACCGTAGTCTGGCTTTTTTATGGCGGTTTTGGAGCAGTGGCTTCTTCCTTGCTGAGCGACCTTTCAGGTTATGTCGATATAGGACTCGTTTTACTGTGGATATAGATACCTTTGTACCTGTTTCCTCCAGCATCTTCACAAGGTCCTTTGCTGTTGTTCTGGGATTGATTTGCACTTTTCGCACCAAAGTACGTTCATCTCTAGGAGACAGAACGCATCTCCTTCCTGAGCGGTATGATGGCTGCGTGGTCCCATGGTGTTTATACTTGCGTACTATTGTTTGTACAGATGAACGTGGTACCTTCAGGTGTTTGGAAATTGCTCCCAAGGATGAACCCAGACTTGTGGAGGTCTACAATTTGTGGAGGTCTTGGCTGATTTCTTTTGATTTTCCCATGATATCAAGCTGAGTTTGAAGGTAGGCCTTGAAATACATCCACAGGTACACCTCAAATTGACTCAAATGATGTCAATTAGCCTATCAGAAGCTTCTAAAGCCATGACATCATTTTCTGGAATTTTCCAAGCTGTTTAAAGGCACGGTATACTTAGTGTATGTAAACTTCTGACCCACTGGAATTGTGATACAGTGAATTATAAGTGAAATAATCTGTCTGTAAACAATTGTTGGAAAAATTACTTGTGTCATGCACAAAGTAGATGTCCCAACCGACTTGCCAAAACTATAGTTTGTTAACAAGAAATTTGTGGAGTGGTTGCAAAATGAGTTTTAATGACTCCAACCTAAGTGTATGTAAACCTTCGACTTCAACTGTACATTATTTGGTAATAGGGACTATATAAAAGAGCAGTGTCTCTATGCCTATGGTAAAGAAGCATAGAAAACTCAAGTTAGATGATACTGAACAGGATTCTGGTGCTTTACCATAAACTTCTGATAGTGACAGAGGCTGCTGCAGTGCTGGCTCTTTGCTTCGTCCTCAGTGACATAGATGACTTTACACAGGTTGCAGAAGTAGCCCATGACAGGTTTAATGAATTCCCTTCCTGTAACAAACACATATAGGACGTTAGAAAACATAGTACTGTTCTTCATAAAGAGAATGCTTCTTACTACGGTTCATTGCTGCACAACTTGGTAGTGTTTTCAAAGCAAACAAATAACAGTTGTTTCACTGATGAAAGTGTACCAGACAAGTCTAAAAAGGTCAAAGGTCATTTAGTAATGATTCTTGAAAGGAGCCAAGACAGTAGCCTGGGTGCCAGTCTGATTCTATTCTCTTGCCAACTCTTTATGGAATTGTCATGCCAATGACAGCAACGGGGTTAACAAGAGCACAAACAGATTTGGGACCAGGCTACCATGAGTGTGCAGTGAGGCTATAAATCACATCAAACCACTTACCCACTGGGTTGTTGGGCTGGAACGATGACTCCATACCAGTCTTCATGGAATCTGGTCCTGTTTCCACATTATCCTCCATCTTGGTTTCTACATTATCCTCGGTGCTACAGGCCCGCTTCTCTTCCTCAGCAGCAGGGACAGGGGCATCCTTTTGGACTTCACAGTTAGAGGATTTGTCAGTATTCACTGGAGACGCTCCTCTGTCCTCCTTGTCACAGTGTTTGGCTGGCTCAGACGATTGTTTACTACACTGTTCAGAGTCTACTTGTCGTGCCGTCTTCTCTTTAGTCTTCTCGTCCTTCTCTTTAGTCTTCTCGTCCTTCTCTTTAGTCTTCTCGTCCTTCTCTTTAGTCTTCTCGTCCTTCTCTTTAGTCTTCTCGTCCTTCTCTTTAGTCTTCTCGTCCTTCTCCTTAGTCTTCTCGTCCTTCTCTTTAGTCTTCTCGTCCTTCTCTTTAGTCTTCTCGTCCTTCTCTTTAGTCTTCTCGTCTTTCTCTTTAGTCTTCCCGTCCTTCACTTTAGTCTTCTCGTCCTTCTCTTTAGTCTTCTCGTCCTTCTCTTTAGTCTTCTCGTCCTTCTCTTTAGTCTTAAATAACTGTTCTGACCCGGTAGCTGAGAGCTCTTTCCCCTGTTCTGACCGAGTAGCTGAGAGCTCTTGGATCAAGTCCTCAGCACTCTCCTGCTGTTTCTCTCCCCATGTCTCCCCTACCGCTTCCTCCCCTACCTCCTCTCCCTCTTCCTCCACTCCCTCTTCCTCCTCCCCTACCTCTTCCTCCCCTACCTCTTCCCCTACCTCCTCCTTTCCTCCCCACCGCCCTCTTCCTGACCAAAGACCTTCCTCCCCTACCACTTACCTCAATACCTCCTTCCCTACCCCCACCCTCTCCCACCGATACCTTCCTACCCATCCCCTCTCCTCTCATCCTCCCTCCCCTCCCCTACCTCCTAATACAGCCCCTACCTCTCTCCTACCCCTCCCCGTCCTCTCCCTTACCCCTACCTCCTACGCCTCTTCCCTCCCTACCTCTCTCTCTTCTCCTACCCCCTACCTTCTCCTCCCAGTCTCCAACTACACCCTACCTCCTCCTCCCCAGTCCCTCCCTCCCCTCCCGTCCTCTCTCCTCCTCCTCTCCCCTCCCCTACCTCCTCTTCCTCCTCTCCTCCTCTCCCTCTTTCCCCTCTCCTCCCTCTTTCCCGTGAGCTCTCCCTCTTCCTCCTCCCCTCTTCCTCCTCTTCCTCTCCCTCTTCTCCCATGTCAGAGTTCTCCTCCCCATACACTGCCACCCCCTCCATGTCGCCGTCCTCTCCAATCACCTCCACCCCCTCCATGGCTCCATTCTCCTGGCTGTCCTGGGTCTCAGTTTCTTGCTTGCTCTGGTCAGTCTTGTCGACAGCCTCTTCGGACTTCTCCATCACATTGGAGGACTGGGATGGGGTCTTATCCTTGGTGGGAGGTTGTGAGCGAGTGGATGTGGAAGTGGGAGATACCTTGTCCTTCTTGGGGTCTGTTTTACAAGAACCTGGGGTCTTCTCACTGGAGACCCTCTCTTTAGTATGGGAGCGAGGGCTTCTGGAGGACCGGCTGGAGCTCTGTTTTCTGGGGGACCTTGGCCTGCTTTTACCCCCATCGTTTGATTTCACTCCATCTTTAAGACAGTTGCTTTTCCTCTCTCTACTCCTCATCCTCCTCCTCATCCTCTTCCTCCTCCTCTTCCTCCTCTTTGAGTAGTTTGGGGAATCTCTCCTGGGGCTGAGGGACCACCTTTTGGGGCTCGGGGTTCTCTTCCTCTTACATCTGTCTGAAGACTTCCTGCTCCGGTCTGAAGACTTCCTGTCCGAAGACTTCCTCTCAGACATGGTCCTGCATGATGGGATGGAAAGACAGTTCACAGACAACACTTTTATTCCCATGTTTTCTGGCTTTTACAGAGTCTAAATTAACTGTTTCCCTTTTAATACAGTGGTTATAACAGTGACATCTACAGTGTCTGACAGTCTGAACTCAGAAGCCCTAATCAATGCATGTTTGCATGCAAAACAAAAGGTAATAGCACAACGGGAACGCATCAACTTACCGAAGTGTATTATACTCTGATGAGAAGGCCACTTTAATATGCATCCCATCTATTTTCAGGTATTTGGACGCATGGTGTCCAACCAGATTCTGTGCATCCAGTGCATTTGTCATTTCCACAAATGCCTACGAGGACAGAACACACTGTAAGCAAATTATAGTATACTATAACGCAGACCAAAACAGTTGAAAGCAAAATGCTGTTTAATACCTGCGTAGGTAAGAATAGAGAGTGCTCCACAGGTCCAAATCCTTTAGCTACGGCCAGCAACGCTCTCTTCCATGCGGCAGACTCTTTACCAGGAGGCACAGGGGAAAAGCTCAACACCCGGGAACTCTATACAGACATAAATGTATTTATTCAACTCATTGAATAATACTCTGTGTGTGTGTGTGTGTGTGTGTGTGTGTGTGTGTGTGTGTGGTTGTTTTAGGGAAAATCGTATCCTCAATTACCCCTTTAACCAAATGTAACAAAAATTGTGTCAATTAATTAATCTTGTAAAATGTACCTGCAGGAAATTAAATGTTGAAGAGACAGAGAAGGTGACTTGTCCTCCTTTCACCATCACTGGGCTACTGAGGTAGTACGTCACAATATCATCGGCCTGCTTAGTTGAGCCCATCTCCACAAACGCCTGAAGATGCAGTGTTTACAAGAACCATCAAAACATTATTACTAGAATGGAAATCCCTATTCCAAGTCAATGAGGTCATAATGGGTGGAGGTTCTATTTCTATGATTAGAACATTACTATAAGATTTTTTAAAATTATAATTCAGTCAATGCAAGACTTCTTACCCATTTCATATGAATTGAAAACACAGATACAGTCGTATGAAAAAGTTTGGGCACCCCTCTGAGGCTGCATAACAATTTACTCTGTCATCACAGAAAATGATCACAGTGGCATGCCATTCATTTTCTAATAAAAGCTGAGTACTGAGGTATTGTCCAGACAAAGATTTTTAGTGAAGCAATATTAAGTTGTATGAAATTAAATCAGATGTGAAAAAAAGAGGCTATGCAGAAATTTGGGCACCCTTGTCATTCTGTTGATTTGAATACCTGTAACTACTTAGCACTGATTAATTGGAACACACAATTGGTTTGGTGAGCTCATTAAGCCTTGAACTTCATAGACAAGTGCATCCAATCATGAGAAAAAGTATTTAAGGTGGCCAATTGCAAGTTGTTGTTCTCTATGACTCTCCTCTGAAGAGTGGCAACATGGGGGGCCTCAAAACAACTCTCAAATGACCTGAAAACAAAGATTGTTCAACATTATGGTTTAGGGGAAGGCTACAAAAAGCTATCGCAGAGATGTAAGCTGTCAGTGTCCACTGTGAGGAACATAGTGAAGAAATGGAAGACCAAAGGCACAGTTCTTGTTAAGGCCAGAAGTGGCAGGCCAAGTAAAATATCGGAGAGGCAAAGGCGAAGGATGGTGAGAACGGTCAAAAACAGCCCACAGACCACCTCCAAAGACCTACAACATCATCTTGCTGCAGATGGTGTCACTGTGCATCGTTCAACAATTCAGCGCACTTTGCACAAGGAGAAGCTGTATGGGAGAGTGATGCGGAAGAAGCCTTTTCTGCACACACGCCACAAACAGAGTCGCTTGAGGTATGCAAACGCACATTTGGACAAGCCAGCTTCATTTTGGAATAAGGTGCTGTGGACTGATGAAACAAAGATTGAGTTTTGGTCATAACAAGGGGCGTTATGCATGGCGGCAAAAGAACACAGCGTTCCAAGAAAAACACTTGCTACCCACAGTAAAATTTGGTGGGGGTTCCATCATGCTGTGTGGCCAGTGCCGGTACTGGGAATCTTGTTCAAGTTGAGGGTCGCATGGATTCCACTCAATATCAGCAGATTCTTGGGAGTAATGTTGAAGAATCAGTCACAAAGTTGAAGTTACGCCGGGGCTGGATATTTCAACAAGACAACGACCCAGAACACTGCTCAAAATCTACCCAGGCATTTGTGCAGAGGAACAAGTACAATGTTCTGGAATGGCCATCCCAGTCCCCAGACCTGAATATCATTGAGAATCTGTGGGATGATTTGAAGCGGGCTGTCCATGCTCGGTAACCATCAAACCTAACTGAAGTGGAGATGTTTTGTAAGGAGGAATGGTCCAAAATACCTTCATCCAGACACTCATTAGAGGCTATAGGAAGCGTCTAGAGGCTGTTATTTTAGCAAAAGGAGGCTCTACTAAATATTGATGTGCTTTTTCTGTTGGGGTGCCCAAATTTATGCACCTGTCTAATTTCGTTTTGATGCATATTGCACATTTTCTGTTAATCCAATAAACCTCATTTCACTACTGAAATATTACTGTGTCCATCAGTTATTTGATAGATCAAAATGAAATTGCTGATCCAAACACCCAATTATTTATAAATGGAAATCATGGAAATTGTCAGGGGTGCCCAAACTTTTTCATACAACTGTATTAGGTCTTTGAATAGATACATGATAAATAGACAACTAGTCTTCTTACCAAAGCAGGGAACATGATGATTTTCACAACTTCCCCAAACGGTTTAATCAGGTCCTTCAAACCATCTTCGTTGAGACACTGGGCGGTAAATTTGGCACAAACCACTTTGCCACTCCCCTGGCACATAAAGGTAAGTAAACGGACAATGTGAAACTAAAAAAGGTGAAAACTAATAACAGTAATTCATCAGAAGAGCAAGAAGAAAGAAAAACAATACCTTTGTAACATTAGTCTTAGAGTCGATGCTTTTTCTAGAGCTGCTACTTGTCGGTTTATCTACAGGACAATATAAAAGGTAAGTTACTTGCACGTTAATATGTTATGGCCACATGTTATAATAATAATAAATAATTACAATCGGACATACTCGCAACAAATGGTCGTGTGGCTTAGTTAGTAGAGCATGGCGCTAACTAACGCCAGAGTTGTGGGTTCAATTCAAAATAAGAAAATGTATGCTTGATAAAAGCGTCTGCTAAATGGCATCAGAAAGTATTCACACCCCCTTGACTTTTTCCACATTTTGTTGTGTTACAGCCTGAATTTAAAATGGATTAAACTGAGATTTCGTCACTGGCCTGCACACATTACAGCCCCACAGGGAAGGTGTCATAATACCCATAAAACTTAGCGGTCAAACAGGGAAATGGTTCCAATCGTTTTTCCACCATACATTTTTCCCATAGGGGATTTTAGAAACACTTAAAATAAGGGCTGTGTTTTGTGTAGGCTTACCCTGGAGTGATGTTTTGATAACCATGTAAATCTCTCTCGGACAAGGTGACTTACAAATATATGCGGATTCATTTACTCTCAGATTCGAAAACGCTAATTAGCTTCAACGTAGACATAATGCAAGACTAAAAATCCCTGCACATCATCTCTAGCTGACACCTTTGCTAACAGGTATTGTGTTAATTTAAAACTTGCACAAGACAGTTAACAGAATTGTCAATTTAAAGAGATTTAGCCAATTTATTAATTACTACATTTAGCTAACATTAGATAGTTAATCCAGAGATTCTTACCTTTTCCTCGATTCGGCAGTCTCATCCAGATCATGGCATTTGTAGCTCTTTATGATAGCCACATTAGCATTTCATTTTTGAAGAGTAAATACAGGCGAATATATTGATAAAACTCACCTTGTCCGAGAGGGATTTACACGGTTACCAAAACGTCACGCCAGGGTTACGCCTACACGAAACGCAGCCCTTATTTTAAGTGTTTCTAAAAATTCTCTATGTGAAAAATGAATGGTGGAAAAAAACGATTGGAACCATATCCTTGTTTGACCGCTAGGTTTTATGGGTATTATGACTTCTACTGTGGTACTCTATACCCCATAATGTCAAAGTGGAATTATGTTAATTATAAGTATTCCACCCCTTTTGTTGTGGCAAGGCTAAATATGTTAAGGAGTAAAAATGTGCTTAACAAGTCACATAGGTTGCATAGACTCATTCTGTGTTCAATAATAGTGGTTAATATGCATACAATTATCTGTAAGGTCCCTCAATTGAGTAGTGAATTTCAAGCACAGATTCAACCACAAAGACCAGGGAGGTTTTCCAACGCCTCGCAAAGAAGGGCACCTATTGGCAGATGGGTGAAAATTTAAAAAAAAAGCAGACATTGAATATCCCTTTGAGCATGGTGAAGTTATTAATTACACTTTAGATGATGTATCAATACACCCAGTCACTACAAAGATACAGGCGTCTCTCCTAACTCAGTTGGAGAGGAAAGAAACCGCTCAGGGATTTCAACATGAGGCCAATGGTGACTTTAAAACAGTAACAGAGGTACACTTACCAAATATACACTTACCAAGTTGCTTACCAAGATGACATTGAATGTTCCTGAGTGGCCTAGTTACAGTTTTGACTTAAATCGTCTTGAAAATCTATGGCAATACTTGAAAATGGAAGTCTAGTAATGATCTAACTTGACAGATTGAATAATTTTTTCAAGAATAATGTGCAAATATTGTACAATCCAGGTACGCAAAGCTCTTAAAGAGACTTACCCAGAAAAACTCACAGCTGTAAATCGCTTCCAAAGGTGATTCTAACATGTATTGACTCAGGGATGTGAATACTTATGTAAATTAGATATTTATGTATTTCATTTTCAAAAAATGTGCTAACATTTCAAAAACATGTTTTCACTTTGTCATTACAGGGTATTGTGTGTAGATGGGCGAGAGATACAAATATTTAATCCATTTTGAATTTAGGCTGTAATACAACAACATTTAGAGTAAGTCAAGGAGTATGAATCCTTTCTGAAGGCACTGTATTATGTACAGCGGAAAGTATTCAGACGCCTTCCCTTTTTCCACATTTTGTTACGTTACAGCCTTATTCTAAAATTGATTAAATAAAATAAATGTCCTCATCAAACTACACACAGTACCCCATAATGACAAAGCGAAAACAGGTTAAGAAATGTTTGCAAATGTATTAAAAATAAAAAACAGAAATACCTTATTTACAAAAGTATTCAGACCCTTTGCTATGAGACTAAATTGAGCTCAGGTGCATCCTGTTTCTATTGATCATCCTTGATGTCTCTACAACTTGATTGGAGTCCACCTGTGGTAAATTCAATTGATTGGACATGATTTGGGAAGGCACACACCTGTCTATATAAGATCCCACAGTTGACAGTGCATGTCAGAGCAAAAACCAAGCCATGAGGTCGAAGGAATTGTCCGTAGAGCACCAAGACAGGATTGTGTCGAGGCACAGATCTGGGGAAAGGGTACCAAAGTACCAAAAACCTTCTGCAGTATTGAAGTTCCCTAAGAACACAGTGGCCTCCATCATTCTTAAATGGAAGAAGTTTGGAACCACCAAGACTCTTCCTAGAGCTGGCCACCCGGCCAAACGGAGCATTCGGGGGAGAAGGGCCTTGTTCAGGGAGGTGACCAAGAACCCGATGGTCACTCTGACAGAGCTCCAGAGTTCCTCTGTGGAGATGGGAGAACCTTCCAGAAGGACAACCATCTCTGCAGCACTCCACCAATTTTACATTTAAGTCATTTAGCAGACGACTTACAGGAGCAATTAGGGTTAAGTGCCTTGCTCAAGGGCACATCAACAGATTTTTCATCTAGGCGGCTCGGGGATTAGAACCAGCGATCTTTTGGTTACTGGCACAACGCTCTTAACCACTAAGCTACCTGCCAATCAGGCCTTTATGGTTGAGTAGCCAGACCGAAGCCACTCCTCAGTAAAAGGCACGACAGCCCGCTTGGAGTTAGCCAAAAGGCACCTAAAGGACTCTCGGACCATGAGAAACAAGATTCTCTGGTCTGATGAAACCAAGATTGAACTCTTTGGCATGAATGCCAAGCGTCACATCTGGAGGAAACCTGGCACCATCCCTACGGTGAAGCATGGTGGTGGTAGCATCATGCTGTGGGGATGTTTTTCAGAGGCAGGGACTGGGAGACTAGTCAGGATCGAGGGGAAGATGACCGGACCAAATTACAGAGAAAACCTGCTCCAGAGCACTCAGGACCTCAGACTGGGGCGAAGGTTCACCTTCCAACAGGACAACGACCATAAGCACACAGCCAGGACAATGCAGGAGTGGCTTCGGGACAGGTCTCTGAATGTCCTTGAATGGCCCAGCCAGAGCCCGGACTTGAACCTGATTGAACATCTCTGGAGAGACCTGAAAATAGCTGTGCAGCGACGCTCCCCATCCAACCTGACAGAGCTTGAGAGGATCTGCAGAGAAGAATGGGAGAAACTCCCCAAATACAGGTGTGCCAAGCTTGTAGCGTCATACCCAAGAAGACTTGAGGCTGTAATCGCTGCCAAAGGTGCTTAAACAAAGTACTGAGTGAAGGGTCTGAATACTTATGTCAATGTAATAAAAAATAGTTTTATTAATTTGCACAAATAAAAAAAAAAGTTTTTACTTTGTCATTATGGGGTATTGTGGTGTAGATTGATGAGGGGGGAGGGGGAAACAATTTAATCAATTTTAGAATAAGGCTGTAACGTAACAACATGTGGAAAAAGTCAAGGGGTCTGAATACTTTCCCTGTATAGGCACGCTAATGCAGTGAGTTTACCCAAGTAGTTAATCGATTTATGGGAAGGTCCACCAGTCTTCTCTTCAACTCTCGGTCTCTCTGTGTGGTCATCACCACTGAAGGGATTAAAAGGCCTGTAGTTAGGATCTATTCTTCATTAATACTAAGCACATACACACAGAGAGATATGCACTCACTTTCTGGCGGTCTGCATCCGGCAATCCCACTCAGGATACCTAAACGTAGGCACAGGGAGAAGAGATGGAATGATAAAAAGCTGGACAATTTAGGAACTTAATCCATTGAAACTAGGCCTATTACAATATCAATACTGACAGAATGAGTTTGAAATGTCATGCTAGTGAGTAGAGAACTGGAAAAACAACTTGAGTATGTGATTACTCACATTCGAAGAAGTGTGAGCTGTCCGTCTGCATGTTGAGTTCCATTGGCGTGTGCAAACCAGTACTGCAAAAAAAGCAAATAAAACATGTTATTTTGACTAGTTGTTCATATTTAAGATACTGCTACGTATGTTAGAACACATAGCCTATGCATTAACTGTATATTATTAGTGGCACAAATAGGCTTCAGATTGATACACTTTGGACCCTTTCACACACATGAACCTACCTGAGACCCAGATAATGCAGATTCAACAGAAATAAGAGGAAGTAAGCTACTTACCTTTTCAGAGAGCACGGTAATATCACAGAGAGAGCACGAATAAGGAAACGTTTGGGGGATTTCTCCGTGAAAGTCAAGAGCAGCCTTCTTGGTGGGAGTGTTGCCAGAGGTGGCCATCTTTGTGACAACTGGGCCATCTTGGTCTGGGCGTGGTCTGTAGTCTGTAGTTGTAGCAGATGAGTACCTGTAATCTACTTCTGGTTGGGACAAGTTGGGGGGTTTCCGGCTGTTGTTGCTTCCTCCTTGGGCCGTGCTGTAAGTGGACCTAGGAGTTTCGTAACTTCTGGGAGTTTCTTTACCATAGTGGTAGTCCACAACTCGGACAGGGACAGGTTCCACGCGAGAGCATGTGTACTGCATCGGGTTGCCATGCCAATCTAGTTTCCAGGGCTCAGCCTGTTCTGTTGGAAGAAGTTGGGATGGGGGAAGAGAGGGGTGGGGGTCCAACGGGTAGTCTAATGGCTGAGAACGACTCCAGTCACCCTGCTCCCACAAACGGCCTGGAGGCAGGGTAGCAGGGGGGGGACGAGATTTGGCAGGGGGGTAAGAGATCATAGCTGGATGTGGAGGCTGCTGTGTCGACCTGTTCTTCTTGATCTCCTGGAGCAGACGTGGTAGGTTCTCCACGGTGATGACATCCTCAGGCATCTCGGCTAGTAGAGACAAGTCTTTGGGCTCGAGCCCACAGCTGCTCAGGAGGGTCAGAGTTTGGTCTGACCTGCTTCGTGAGGAAGAGTAAGGGTCTGACCGGCTTAGTGAGGAGGAGTAAGGGGACTCGGTGGCAGCGGGGGCTCTGGATGACGAGGAAGGGTAGGATGGTATTGTGGAATGAGATGGTGGCTCCTGGGACGATCTGTTAACATTATGACTGTGGTCTCCAGGGCGCAGGTGATCTGGAGAGTCGAAAGAGCTGGCTCTTAGATCTTTAGCTGGTAGTGGTCGTCTGTAGGAGTAGTTGTGAGACATGCTGGAACTGGAAGGTAAACTTATCGAATCTCTGTTGAGAAAGTTGCCAGTGAAGAGATGAGGGGTCAAAGAAGCAATCTAGGGAATATGGATTCAATACTAGGAAACCGGGCGTCGGGGCCTATCTTGACTGTTACTGATTCCTTGTAGGTGTGACATGCTGGCGATAACCGACAGGCCTAGCCGGAACCGTCATATAGATGACGTTAGCTAGATAACTAACGTTAACTGGCTAATACTGGCTGAACGTTAGTTAGCTCTGGGAAGGCGCCTAACCATGGGCCTGAAAGGGTTGCTCATGCAAGTGATAACAATTACATAGATAGCTAGATGCATATTGGAAGGGCCATCTAAATACCAAAAAGCTCTTAAAAGCATAATGTTACATTTACTTGAAACGAAACGGACACTAGCTGAGCTAACAAAGCTAACGTTCAAGTCAGCTAGCTAACTTCCTCTCACGTTAGCTCGACAACTAGCATTTTTTTTGGAAAGATCATTTGTGAATAGATATAAATATCGGCATATACGTATATTCGTTAAGTATCTTACCGAAACCTGTATCGAAGTAGCTAGCTAGCTTCCCAGGCATCTAAACCGGAACCGGAAGTAAAAGGTAAACGACCCCCCCCCCCCCCCCCCCCCCATTTTTATTTATTTATAATTATATATATATGTGTAGGGTGTGTTCGTAAATTCAATCTGGAGTGCCAGAGTATCCTCTGGCCGGACGTAAATTCAGAGCGTTGACACTGGACCCTCTGGCTTCACAACGGCAGTCAAGCACCCAAGCTATCTGGCAAACGTTGGCTAGCTTGCTAGCTAGCTACTTCCAGACACAAATGAGAGAACACCTCACTCTGACCATTTTACTCGGCCTAGGAGAGCTGTTTTCATGTTATTCAGAGCGTCGGTGACTGTAACTGTGCTGCTGGCAACAATTTAATTACGCTTTTTTACTGACGTTGCAAACGTTTACTGACACCTGCCATATTCAATCGGTGTTGAGCGTTCGTAAATTCATCAGTTATTCTGCCTCTCTCAGACGAGAGTACTCTGAAATCGGAGTATATAGCCAGAGAGAATTTACGAACGCACTCGTAAAAGTCTTGCGGTCTGTTTACTATATAAAACACGAGTATGAATTTATCAGGGGGCCATGTTTTGTTGTGAAATCACAAAATATATAGTCCATCAACATTTATTTTCAAATACTTTTAAGAAAAAATATTATTTGGGGGTATTTTTGTACAATACTTTTGGTGCGTTTTTATACAGTAGTTTTCCTTTTAGGTGTATAAAAAAAAAAAGTCTACATCTACATGGCAGTAGGATATCAAGCACCAGGCTCTGGAAGATAATGGCAGGAAGCAGAGGAGAAATGAAAATAAAATCTAAAATAAGCCTGGCATTTCAGGCTCTGAAAAGCAAGTAAAACGTATTACACATACAAATATAAGAGACATCCATTATAAAGTAGGTAATCTATCTCTTATAACATCCAGTTATATAACCAGGCTAAGATATTAAATATTAATCTCATAGCAAACTGCATTTCAACAAAAGGAGACTGTATAAAGAAATATGTTCTCTGAATTCATAATGCAAACCAAGATCTAATGAAAAATACATCTTGTGATTTTGAGACGAACCACTACTTTTGATTGAACAGAAAAGTATTATTTGATGGGGCAGGTATGTTAGAACTACTTACATAACATAGTACTACAATATTCAAATAGGAAATAAAAGTAAAAAGTATTCTGGCTCCTACACTGTTTTTACATTCAGAAGAGTTACAACAAACATATGATTTATATACACAACATTATTCAAAACTTTAAACATGCAGGGCTGGCTGGAAAACTTTGGCAACACATTAAGTGCAACAGAACTCCAATAGATCTTCCTACACTGGCTTCAGTGTGGACAGATGATTTGTTCATCAGAGGACTAGTCTCAGTGCTTCAACCCTGGTACGAATTCTTGTGCTTCAGGGTTCAAATTGCTGTTGACCTAAAGAGAGAAAAACATTAGGGAAAATGTAATCAAAGCTTACAGAGATGATTCAATCCAAACAAATTGAGATATCATAGGCCTAGGCCTACTCTTAGTAAAGTATGTTCCAGCCTGTGCTATCTTGCCAACTCCTCATGGCAAACAAGACAAAAATCATACTTTATACGTATGCTAAAATGTTTATTATATTCTACTGAGCCATTTACTTTATGTTCGTATTCTTATATTTTATTATTTATTATTATTGTTGCATTGTTGAGAAGGAACCTGCAAGTAAGCATTTCATTGGACGGTGTATCCTTTGTGTATCCCGTACATACGACTACTAAAACTTTAAATGTGGTGGCAAGATAGCACATACATATCTGGGACAAGGCTAGCCTCAGAAACACAGGCTTTTCATGAGTCGACGAGACAAGATTTGGAAGGATGGCCACACGAGACTAGCCTGGCGAGCCACCTGATCCTGCGCATGAATGGTTCCCTACACGCAGTGGTAATCGGTCTGGCATTTACGAGGCTAACGTGAGACTAGGACTAGGCCAACTAAAATGTCTATTTTCCACAGACTTTACTTCAATGAGACCTGGACAAACAAAACCACTGAAACATTTACCGCCAGGCCGTCGACGATGCCTGTGTCACAGAGGACCAGTAGGTTGAGTTGGTCCTGCAGCTGACCGAGGGTTGGAGGGAGATCTCTGGCTGGGATGAACCATTCATTTTCCTCTTCCGCCAACATCTCCTGGAAACACTGCTCAATGAACTCCTCCTCCCACAGCTCCTCCTCAATCTGGGGACAAAGCATTCAAAATAATTTAGACACCCACTCTTTGCAAAACACTGTAAATTATTGAAATGATACATTGCTATTACAAAAACAGGTATTTCTTTGTGTGTGGTACAGGCATGAAATATTAAATAAACTAGCTACCTAATCTAGTACGTAATCAATAGACAGAATAAGTAGAGTACCTGTCTGTTGAATTCCTCCTCGTTCTCCATCCACATGTATTCAGCAAAGGGATTGTCATCATTGATGAACTGTCCATGTAGGATAAATTCGCTGTTGTTGAGGCTTGGGTTGTTGTTGACGCGACTTGGGTCTTTCATTTTGTCTGTAACAAAGACGAGGTAAGTTAGCTATATCTGCAAAAACAGACCAACAGGAATACGACAATATTTCAGAACACATTAATAATAAGACACAAAACGACTCGGGTACAGTTCAAAATGATAGCTACACTGTGATTATAGTTAACTACAGAAACGTGTCCGCCTTTGTTAAAACGACTCGATATAAAGGCTAAAAAGCAGCAAGTAGGGACACTCATTTCTGTTTTTTTTTTATGGACCACAGCAATGTCATATAAACGTTAAGTTATATTTCATAACGGTCAAATTACCAGGCGAAGGTTCAAAAGCTGGAAGTGTCAGTTACTCTTGTTTCTTTCGAACTCTTACTTCCGAGACAGTGGAAAACAATGGCCGCTGAGTGTTTGTTTGTTTACATGTTGCGCGTCAGCGATTGGACGAATCCTTTGACCCTTCCACGTGACCAATGCGCATGCTCCTTGCCACTAGCTTTATAGCTTAACCGCCGCGTGAGCTTCTGCTGTGCAGGTAAGGACGATAAACCTGATTTCCATAACCTCGGTAAATCTTCGTTTTGACTGTAAAATAACTAACGTTACAAATGACGAATATATATTGTTTATATTGGACTCCTATTTTTTTGTAGCGTAATGTACATCTCGTGAAGAAAACGTGCAGCTCGTGGCCATCAAATTAGCTTCGCAAGCTAGCTAGGCCAGAGGCCTTTCACATCAAATATCTGTTATTCTGCTGTTGCATGTTAACATTTAGTTAGCTACTATCATCTTCAAACTAAAAGTTGTTATATCTAAAACGCACAGGATTCAGCAAATATTCACATATTGAGTGCAAATGCAGCACAGGCAAAAGGAAAAAACAGCTCTTGCGGTTAGCTGCATCTCGTGTTAGCTAGCCATTTGTTTTTAAGATGAATAGCTAATGTTGCGATACATTCGCTATACTCTTGTCTTTGCTATATCTGGGTCTAATAGTCTTCTGATCCAGAGACTGGATCCAAATTCCCCTTTTAATCACAAACATCACTGCTCATTGTAACCTTGTAACTACACATTTGAGCTCTTTTCAATTCATGTCAAATTGTGTCCAAACTACAGTTAGGCCAATTGTTGGTCAATTGGTAAATTGTGAGCGTTGTCCTTGCTCTATGAAGATTAACCCATGTTTGATCTATCTTCTCTTCTGGCTATGACATACAGTTCATGATACTGTATATCTTCCTCTACTTTCGTATGAGGTCAATTCACGTCTGAATCTTTACTGTACATTTTCCTCCTTTTCTGTGAGTTGTCTCTCTTCAATGCATTTTATAAATGATTCTTCCTGTTTCTTTCAAATAAACCTAACATTCTGATTCTGAACACAGTTCAATTGACTACTATTTGAATTGGGCCATTCTCTCCACACTTGCTATCTGTACATTGTAGGCTAACTGAACCTGGCTGCAGACCGTGTTGTTTGCACCTCCATATCCCCATGCTAACTGTGGAGGAGGGCGGCAGACAAGAACTTATACCCTACACTTTCACCATTATGTTTCTGCAGAAATACATATTCCATCAGATGAAGAGGAGAGCTTTCCTTTTCTTCATCCACGTTGACTTGTTGCCACGGCGTCGTCTCATTTTGAATTGACTGAATCTTCTCTTCGATCAAAGACTTTTAAATTGTCCCTCCCTTAACTGCTTCCTTATTCTGTTCTTGTGCCGTGTAGTCTCACGTTGAGTTAGTTTAGAGCACGTCAGCCATTTTGAGGATTGCCATGTCCCAGAAGATTCCATCTGATAGCTCTCAGAAAGGCTTTGCTGTGGGACGCGGGCTCCTGGCTGCTGCTGAGACCCTCAACTTCAGCATGAATGAACAGCGTTCAGACAGCGTCCATCATGGCTCAACCTCCAGACAGTTGCACAGCATGTCCTCAGGTATGGGTGGTGGTGAGGGCGACCGTGACCCGCAGCTGTCCCGTCGTGGTGGCAGCCACATTGGCAACTCCATGAAGCTGTTTGCCAGCTTGGGCCTGTCGCCCGCTGACCTAGACGTGCTGGCACAGATCCCAGAAGACAACATTAGTGTGGAGACCTTGCCTCACCTTATAATGCAACTTAAGAACCGGAAGGTGGATTCTGACAGACGCATGGCAGGCAACTCTAGAGGAGACCTGTCAGGGCTCTCCCCTGAGCCCTCATACAGAGCCAGCAGAGACGACTGGGACGATATGCGTGTTGGAAGACAGGGTGGTTCCATGGGGCAGGCTTCGGCCCGCGCTCAGCAAGGAGACTTGGGCTACGGTTCCATCCAAGACACTCCAGCTGGAAGGTATGAACTCGACTATGGCCACGGCAGTGGTGGAAGAGATCCAGGGTGGTATTCAGATCTTTCCCATGATCGCTACAGCGGTATGGGCATGGGTCCCCCCTCAGCGGCAGACAGTGTCTTTATGACCAGGAGAATGGGATCCCCGTCCCAAGGCAAAGTGCAGGACTTCTTGGGAGTCATACCTCACATGTTTCCCCATGTGTGCTCTCTTTGTGATTTTGACGTGCATTCCACCATGGTGAGTAGTAACTCCAATTCATTTTCCACTTTACCTGTCTGTTTCATCCATCCACACACCGTCTACTCTGATCTCAGTTTGATTGCCACTCTCATGCACTCACGGACACTTTTTCAATTCAAAGACCACTTTTGAATTTATAATCAAATATTTTATAGCTTTTGATTATCAAGTGACTGGAAAGCCAATATACAGTACACTAAGTAATGGTTCAACAAAAGTCTGTTTATATTTGCATCATATACCCACTTATTCAGCTTCTTTCTACATTTGAAGAGCCATAGTTTAATCACCCTTTGCTTTCTAATTGGTGTGGGAGCCAATTAATGTATACAGTGTAGGTATGCAGTAAATCAGTCACTCATCCAGTGTTTGTCTTGGTCTGCAGGAGTGGAACCAGCACACTGATGGATTACGTCATGCAGAAAACCAGAGGCTCCTCCTGCAGATGTAAGTTCCTCTTCCTCTTCAAACATTCTGTGTTATTTATGTAAAGGCCTTTTAGCAACGAGGTTGTTAGAACTAATGTTCAGATACACACTGAAACATCTGTGTAGAACTTTTACACTGCCTGCTGGAAAAAGCATGGGGAAAAAATAAAGCAACTTTTGGAGTTCTGTCTTAAAATAAAATTGTGTGTGAACCATCAATAATTTTTTGACCAATGTTCTCCCATGATCTTTAGGTACCCAGAATGGGATCCACACATGGCCACAAGCAGGAGGTATGTGTCTCTTCCTCTCCACACAAACACACACACTCTTGCTCTCTCTTTCTCACACTCGCCGGTTGTTATAACATGTTTGCAAATATTAGTCCCAAGAGTTGATAAAGAACATACGAACACTATTTATTTGTATTTTTTATTTAACCTTTATTTAACCAGGTTTAAACCAGTTGAGAACAAGTTCTCAATTACAACTGGCCAAGATAAAGCAAAGCAGTGCGATAAAAACAACAACAACACAGAGTTACATATGGGGTAAACAAAACGTACAGTCAGTAACACAATAGAAAATCTATATACAGTGTGTGCAAATGTAGTAAGTTATGGAGGTAAGGCAATAAATAGGCCATAGTGCAAAATAATTACAATTTAGTATTAACACTGGAGTAATTGATGTGCAGAAGAAGATGTGCAAATAGAGATACTGGGGTGCAAATGAGCAAAATAAATAACAATATGGGGATGAGGTAGTTGGGTGGGCTAATTACAGATGGGCTGTGTACAGGTGCAGTGATCGGTAAGCTGCTCTGACAACTGATGCTTAAAGATAGTGAGGGAGATAAGTGTCTCCAGCTTCAGAGATTTTTTCAGTTCGTTCCAGTCATTGGCAGCAGAGAATTGAAAGGAATGGCGGCCAAAGGAGGTGTTGGCTTTGGGGATGACCAGTGAGATATACCTGCTGGAGCGCATACTACGGGTGGGTGCCAACAAGAGCGTACAGGTCACAATGGTGGGTAGTATATGGGGCTTTGGTGACAAAACGGATGGCACTGTGATAGACTACATCCAATTTGCTGAGTAGAGTGTTGGAGGCTATTTTGTAAATGACATCGCCTAAGTCAAGGATCGGTAGGATAGTCAGTTTTACGAGGGCATTTTTGGCAGCATGAGTGAAGGAGGCTTAGCTGAGAAGTTACGGTGGGATTCAAAATGGTCGGTGATCTGTTTTAACTTGGCTTTCAAATACTTTCGAAAGACAGGGCAGGATGGATATAGGTCTGTAACAGTTTGGATCTAGAGTGTCACCCCCTTTGAAGAGCGGGATGACCGCGGCAGCTTTTCAATCTCTGGGGATCTCAGACGATACGAACGAGAGGTTGAACGGGCTGGTAATAGGGGTTGCGACAATTTCGGCGGCTAATTTTTAGAAAGAAAGGGTCCAGATTGTCTAGCCCAGCTTATTTGTAGGGATCCAGATTTTGCAGTTTTTTTAGTTAACAATATACTTTCCGGTGTTTTGACTTTAAAGAGCAACTACCCCTAAAAACCAGCTTCTCGTTTAGAAAACAGCCTATGTGGCATTGATATGAGTGTGAAACATTTATTCTACTGTCAGAATTGACTACAAAGTGTAAATACAGTAATTTTGGTAATTAAAGTCAGTCTTGTCCAAAGCAGAGTTTTGACTGCATCACAACATAAATTAAGGTTGGCTTTGTTTTAATCCTGCCCACAGCGGGCAGCACACTAGTAATCATCAATTCAGAGTGCAGCTGCACGTGACCCGATCGTAATCGTAATAATTAGCCAACGTTCAAGCTTTGGAGAATAAAATGGACGATTTAAGATTACGGTTATCCTACCAACGGGACATTAAAAACTGTAATATCTTATGTTTTACGGAGTCGTGGCTGAACGACGACAATGATAACATTCAGCTAACAGGCTATACGCTACATCGGCAGGACAGAACGGCAGACTCGGGTAAGACGAGGGGTGGCGGTCTCTGTATATTTGTAAACAACAGCTGGTGCACCAAATCAAATACTAAGGAAGTCTCAAGGTTTTGCTCGCCTGAGGTAGAGTATCTTATGATAAGCTGTAGACCCCACTATTTACCAAGAGAGTTTTCATCTATATTTTTCATAGCTGTCTATTTACCACCACAAACCAATGCTGGCATTAAGATTGCACTGAATGAGTTGTACAAGGCCATTAATCAACAGGAAAACGCTCATCCAGATGCAGCGCTCCTAGTAGCAGGGGACTTTAATGCAGGGAAACTTAAATCCGTTCTACCTAATTTCTACCAGCATGTTAAATGTGCAACCAGAGGGGAAAAAACTCTAGACCACCTTTACTCCACACACAGAGACGCATACAAAGCTCTCCCTCGCCCTCCATTTGGCAAATCTGACCATAACTCTATCCTCCTGATTCCTGCTTATAAGCAAAAACTGAAGCAGGAAGCACCAGTGATTCGGCTAATAAAAAAGTGGTCAGATGACGCAGATGCTAAGCTACAGGACTGTTTTGCTAGCACAGACTGGAACATGTTCCGGGATTCTTCAGACAGCATTGAGGAGTACACCACATCAGTCACTGGCTTCATCAATAAGTGCATCGATGATGTCGTCCCCACAGTGACCGTACGTACATACCCCAACCAGAAGCCATGGATTACAGGAAACATCCGCACTGAGCTAAAGGGTAGAGCTGCCGCTTTCAAGGAACGGGACTCTAACCCGGACGCTTATAAGAAATCCCGCTATGACCTCCGACGAACCATCAAACAGGCAAAGAGTCAATACAGGTCTAAGATTGAATCATACTACACTGGCTCTGACGCTCGTCGGATGTGGCAGGGCTTGAAAACTATTACAGACTACAAAGGGAAGCACAGTCGCGAGCTGCCCAGTGACACAAGCCTACCAGACGAGCTAAACCACTTCTATGCTCGCTTCGAGGCAAGCAACACTGAAGCATGCATGAGAGCACCAGCTGTTCCGGACGACTATGTGATCACGCTCTCCGTAGCCGATGTGAGTAAGACTTTTAAGCAGGTCAACATTCACAAGGCCGCAGGGCCAGACGGATTACCAGGACGTGTACTCCGAGCATGTGCTGACCAACTGGCAAGTGTCTTCACTGACATTTTCAACATGTCCCTGACTGAGTCTGTAATACCAACATGTTTCAAGCAGACCACCATAGTCCCCGTGCCCAAGAACTCTAAGATAACCTGCCTAAATGACTACCGACCCGTGGCACTGACGTCTGTAGCCATGAAGTGCTTTGAAAGACTGGTCATGGCTCACATCAACAGCATAATCCCAGAAACCCTAGACCCACTCCAATTTGCATACCGCCCCAACAGATCCACAGATGATGCAATCTCTATCGCACTCCACACTGCCCTTTCCCACCTGGACAAGAGGAACACCTACGTGAGAATGCTATTCATTGACTACAGCTCAGCATTCAACACCATAGTGCCCTCAAAGCTCATCACTAAGCTAAGGATCCTGGGACTAAACACCTCCCTCTGCAACTGGATCCTGGACTTCCTGACGGGCCGCCCCCAGGTGGTAAGGGTAGGTAACAACACATCTGCCACACTGATCCTCAACACGGGGGCCCCTCAGGGGTGCGTGCTCAGTCCCCTCCTGTACTCTCTGTTCACCCATGACTGCATGGCCAGGCACGACTCCAACACCATCATTAAGTTTGCCGACGACACAACAGTGGTAGGCCTGATCACCGACAACGATGAGACAGCCTATAGGGAGGAGGTCAGAGATCTGGCCGTGTGGTGCCAGGACAACAACCTCTCCCTCAACGTGACCAAGACAAAGGAGATGATTGTGGACTACAGGAAAAAAAAGAGGACTGAGCACGCCCCCATTCTCATCGACGGGGCTGTAGTGGAACAGGTTGAGAGCTTCAAGTTCCTTGGTGTCCACATCACCAACGAACTATCATGGTCCAAACACACCAAGACAGTCGTGAAGAGGGCACGACAAAGCCTATTCCCCCTCAGGAGACTAAAAAGATTTGGCATGGGTCCTCAGATCCTCAAAAAATTCTACAGCTGCACCATCGAGAGCATCCTGACTGGTTGCATCACCGCCTGGTATGGCAACTGCTTGGCCTCTGACCGCAAGGCACTACAGAGGGTAGTGCGTACGGCCCAGTACATCACAGGGGCAAAGCTCCCTGCCATCCAGGACCTCTATACCAGGCGGTGTCAGAGGAAGGCCCTCAAAATTGTCAAAGACTCCAGTCACCCTAGTCATAGACTGTTCTCTATGCTACCGCACGGCAAGCGGTACCGGAGTGCCAAGTCTAGGTCCAAAAGACTTCTCAACAGCTTCTACCCCCAAGCCATAAGACTCCTGAACAGCTAATCATGGCTACCCGGACTACTTGCACTGCCCCCCCACCCCATACTTTTTACGCTGCTGCTACTCTGTTAAGTATTTATGCATAGTCACTTTAACTCTACCCACATGTACATATTACCTCAACTACCTCAACTAGCCGGTGCCCCCGCACATTGACTATGCAACGGTACCCCCCTGTATATATAGCCTCCCTACTGTCACTTTATTCTATTGTATATATAGCCTCCCTACTGTCACTTTATTTTTACTTCTGCTCTTTTTTTCTCAACACTTTTTTTGTTGTTGTTTTATTCTTACTTTTTTTGTTTAAAATAAATGCACTGTTGGTTAAGGGCTGTAAGTAAGCATTTCACTGTAATGTCTGCACCTGTTGTATTCGGCGCATGTGACCAATAAAATTTGATTTGATTTGATCCCTGTGGTAAATTTGGGTTGACTTTGGATATCCCTATGGGGCTAGTTAGGGACCATCGGTAAATTACACCATGTACATGGGACGATATGTTGAAATTCCAGTAGCTCCAAATTTCAGTGACTTAAAAACCTCAAACCAACTATAAATTGTAGAAATTCATATACAAATATTGAAAGCATTTAATGAGAACTAAAAGGTATGAAAATATTGTCTCATTTACATTGTGTAATTTATTGACAGTCCCTATCTAGCCCCGGGGATAGGCTATCCAAAGTCAAACCAGATTTACCACGGTCGCACACCAGCCGGCTAAAGTTAATTGTCTAAATAATTTGTTTAACTCTTCTCACCTGCGAACACACATACGAGACACCCACACCATACCACACCCCGAAACCAAATCGTGTTTGAATTAAGTCATGGACGCTAGCATTTCTTAATTAAACAAATCTAAAACGAGGCCAAATCAGGAAGTGAAGTTGCACTTTAAATACGTGACTGAATCAGTCTTGTGTAATAGTAGAGTGAATCTCATGTTTGTCCCTTTCAGCGGTGGGTCTCATCTACTGGAGACGAACAACCAATCAGCCAGTCTCCTGGGACCAGTCCCAATGGCTGGAGGAGGAGGGCGCATGAGCTCCGGCTGGGGTAATGGTGTATTTGTGTGAAAAATTTACGTCTGTGTCTGAAATGGAATCCTATTCCCTATATAGTGCACTACTTTTGATCAGGGTCTGATAGGGCTCTGGTCAAAAGTAGTGCACTATATAGGGAATTAGGGTGCCTTTTCGGACTCAACCCAACGTATGCTTATTGCTGTCACTTACTGATTTATTATTTTGTATTCATTACTATGTAATCATTATCATTGTCATTAAAGGGATAGGCCTAGTTCACCCAAATGACAAAATGACATATTGGCTTCCTGACCCTGTAATCAGTCCATGAACAAAGTAAGACAGTAATCCATGTTTGTTTTTTTGTTTAGCTGGCCACTGCCATGTTGTAATTGAAGTGACTGCGGGTCCTTGAAAAGCCGTATATAAAACCCCATGTGTTATTATCATGTATTTTAGGTGGTGGTGCTGGATCTAATGTTGGACCAGGCAAGGCACATCAACATTCTATGCCACCTAAGCCGGTAATGTGTTTTATTTGTCATGATATTATCTTGATAAAGTAATATATATATCTTGATAAAATACGATCTCTTTACTGTGATGCAGTGACCAAGTAACTCCTCTTCAAAAACACATGTATTTTACTGGTGTGCCTTTTTTGGAGTGAAAGTGATGGACTCAACGTGTTTATTTTGTAACTGTCTGAACTTGTTCTCCTCCTCCTCCAGATCAGAAGCAAAGTAGTGGTGGCCAAGTATGACAGGCCTCCTCAGTCTAACAAAGCCCTGTTCGCCCTAGCGGAACCCTTTGGAACTCTGTGTGAACACCTGGTCCTCAAGAACAAGGTAGAGCACACCACTGTTCCGGCTTGCCAGAGGCCTCATTTATCACTCAATGCTGGCGTACGTGGATATTCTAGGATTTGCCTAGCGTAACAAATTATTGAGATTTATCAAACTGTCGCCACGCAACATATACGCATTTTTTTTTCATTGATAAAATCAGAACCATACTGTATTTCTGTGCTCGTGAACAAGTGTTACACTCCACCTGGAAAACAGCCTCCGTTCACCTTTTTATGGTAACAAAAACGCCCTAATTTGCTGTATGATTTGGAAATGCTGGAACTGGGCCGTGACAGTTTCTAAAGCGCAATGGAAAATTTGATCACATTGTTTTTGCAGTGACTTTTAAACTACACTTATTATGATTCTGCTATGCAATCTCCTTACCAACGGCAAATGCGTCCGTGTTATCATTAGGCCTACGTTTTTAATGTTTTTATTAGCCTTCCATTATTAGAATTCCCGTGCCTCAAACACCTCAATTTCCCCCAAAAGAACAATATTGGCTTGCAACACAAGTTGTGCGTATGCATGGTTTGAGAAGTGCGTGGAAATTTGCACCCTTTCCCCTCCAAGTTCAAAACGGATAAATACCAAACTTGGCGCAGGCAAGGTTTAAGTCTTTTTTTTGTGCGTACACACTTTTGATAAATTACGCCCCTAGTACTTGACTATAAAGATTCTTCATGGAGTGTCCAGGAAACTGCCCCTTTTGTGTTTCACAACACTTTCCTCTCATTACAATGTATAAATCAATTCTGCTTTGAATTTGCGATAACAGAGTAACGTATTACAGTTCAATGGAAATAAACGTATCACAATGCAAACTCTACTTTGAATAACCGGGTAACTGTCAGTGAAGATGTATGTTTTTTTTTTTTTTTTTTTAAACACTTGACTTGCTCTTCTTACCCCATATTTTAACAGAAGAAAACAGTTGACATTGTTGTATATGAGCACCTGCTGACTGGTCGTGTACCACGGGGCTCATGGTGCATTGATCTACTCCCCAGGCCTTTTTAGAAATGGAGACCCATAAGGAAGCTAGGGATGTGGTCAACCACTACCAGAAGAACCCAGCGGTGTTAAATGGGAAACAAATCACCATTTATCTGTCCAAGGAACTCATGGTGATTCAGGTAATATTGGAATGTCCTTATTCATCTATTTTCATTAGTTTTACCCCCTGTATCTTATCTGCTGTATAGATGAAATACTTCAAAATCACTCAGCTGCATTTCTAACTTTTCTGTCCATTTTAACAGTTATTCAGTACAAGCAGCGATCGTGCATGCAGACGAGTACACGTCATATTTTCCTCTTTCTGAACACAGAAAGACAGCAGAACTGAGAGGGTGAACCGCGAGGCGAAACAAGGCAAAGATCCAGAGGCAGCGAACCAGTCACAGGTGGTCTTCTTTTCCAACTTGCCGCATGAGAACGAGAAGAAGCAGGAACTGCTCACCATCGCGCGGCGCTTCGGCGTCGTGGAGAAACACTTGTTTCTAACCGAGGAGGTAAAAGTCTTTATTATTCTCTGTTTGTATAAAAAAAAAACATACTCATGGATGGATAAAAGTGTCTGTTAAATGGCATATATTTTATATAGTATTTATATTGTCAGTCTTTTTTAATTTCTGGATGTGTCATGAATGCTTAAAATGTATCATTAGCGTTCGTCTTCCAAGGCTTTTGTTCAGCTGGGGTCTGCAGAGGATGCCGAGATGTTGGTGAAGTACTACACTCTGAATCCACTGACCATCCATGGGAAGGGTGTCCGCTTAAACATCTGTACCAAGTACAAGACCTTAAAGTAAGAGTTCCCAGAGTGATTCAGTGCTTCATTATCATAGTAGAGGACTTAGTTGGCCTTTTTTCACAGAGGTATATGGACTGATTGTGGATTGTTGTCCGTCTGTAACAGTGTGAATAATCGCTCAAGCAATCTGATGGATGACAAGAGGAGGAGAAGCAGCAGTAGTACTGGGCCCAAAGACAAAGCTTCCTCCTCCAAGAGCACCAAATCTTCCTCTAGCAGCAAAGCCAAAGAGGACAAGAAGGAACCACCAAAAGGAGAGGACTGCGGTGCAGGGAGAGAGGGAGAGGGATCCGGGAGAGAGGGAGAGGGGTCAGGGAGAGAGGGAGTGGGGTCAGGTGACGAGGTGGCTGGTGTGATGGAGGGAGATGAAGCTGAGGAGTACAAAGGAGAGGGAGACCAGGGTTCAGGTGATGATGGGCCGTCAGCGGACAAGGCTGAAGCCGTGACGGAAGACCCAGAGACTGCTGCCAACGCCAGTCTGGAATCCCAGGAGGAGAAGGAACCGGCTCCGGACTCAGACGACGTTCCGAGCACTGCAGATGTTCTGAGCAGTAGTGACGTCACAGAGAAGGCTGAGGGGGCAGAAGTGGAGCAGGGGACTGTGCCTGGTCCAGAGGAGAAAGCGGAGGGAGAGCCTGAGAGTGAACAGATGGAAACTGAAGCCGCTACAGATGAGCCAGAGACCGAGGACAAGGATGACATGCCGTCGGCAGAGCCAGCAGAGAGCTCGGAGATGCACGAGGAACAGCTACCTGCAGATCAGGTAGGTCAACAACAGAAAATATTAGATTTATCTTGCTTATACTGCTCATGTATTTTTGTTCAGTTTGAGACAAAGTTCTGTAGAGCACAGTGACCTATCTGCCTTTTTGTTGTTGTTCGTATTGTACAAATGTATTTAGAATATGTAACTAATATGTTGACATACAGTACCAGTAAAAAGTTTGGACACACCTACTCATTCCAGGGTTTTTCTTTATTTTAACTATTTTTTTTACATTTGAGAATAATAGTGAAGACATCAAAACTATGAAATAACACATGGAATCAAGTAGGAACCAAAAAAGTGTTAAACAAATCAAAATATATTTGAGATTCTTCAATGTAGCCACCCTTTGCCTTGATGACAGCTTTGCCCACTGTTGGCATTCTCTCAACCAGCTTCATGAGGTAGTCACCTGGAATGCGTTTTCAATTAACAGGTGTGCCTTCTTAAAAGTTAATTTGTGGAATTTCTTTCCTTGTTAATGCGTTTGAGCCAATCAGTTGTGTTGTGATAAGGTCGGGGGAGGGGGTATACAGAAGATAGCCCTATTTGGTAAAAGACCAAGTCCGTATTATGGCAAGAACAGCTCAAATAATCAAACGACAGTCCATCATTACTTTAAGACATGAAGGTCAGTCAATCTGGAAAATGTGAATAACTTTGAAAGTGTTTTCAAGTGCTGTCTCAAAAACCATCAAGCGCTATGATGAAACTGGCTCTCATGAGGACCTCCACAGGAAAGGAAGACCCAGAGTTACCTCTGCTGCAGAGGATAAGTTCATTAGTTACCAGCCTCAGAATTTGCAGCCCAAATAAGTGCTTCAGAGTTCAAGTAACAGACACATCTCAACATCAACTGTTCAGAGGAGACTGCGTGAATCAGGCCTTCATCGTCTAATTGCTGGAAAGAAACCACTACTAAAGGACGCCAATAAGAAGAAGAGACCTGCTTGGGCCAAGAAACACGAGCAATTGACATTAGACCGGTGGAAATCTGTTCTTTGGTCTGGAGTCCAAATTTGAGATTTTAGGTTCCAATCGCTGTGTCTTTGTGAGACGCAGTGTAGGTGAACGGATGATCTCCGCATGTGTAGTTCCCACCGTGACGCATGGAGGAGGAGGTGTGATGGTGTGGGGGTGCTTTGCTGGTTTGGGATGAGTTGGACCGCAGAGTGAAGGAAAAGCAGCCAACAAGTGCACAGCATATGTGGGAACTCCTTCAAGACTGTTGGAAAAGCATTCCAGGTGAAGCTGGTTGAGAGAATGCCAAGAGTGTGCAAAGCTGTCATCAAGGCAAAGGGTGGCTACTTTGAAGAATCTCAAATATAAAATATATTTAGATTTGTTTAACACTTTACTACATGATTCCATATGTGTTATTTCATAGTTTGTGTCTTCACTATTATTCTACAGTGTAGAAGAAGAAAAAATAGTAAAGAAAAACCCTGGAATGAGTAGGTGTGTCCAAACTTTTGACTGGTAGTGTATATGTTGAATATGTTGACATACATGTTGTTGTGTCTTTCCTTCAGGAGGAGGGCAGTATGGAGCAGGATTTCCCAGAGAACATGGATGACTTTGTGACTCTGGATGAGCTGGCAGAGGACGAGGACTTGGAGAGACAGGACTCCTCTTCCAAAGAAAAATACTCATCTTCAGGTAAACAACATTAACTTTACCTCTAGCATGATGTATGATCATTTAATTTAGGATGATTGATGACAGTGTCTGTGGAATTGGAAAACCATTGGAATAAGCTACAGCAACTGTTGTTGGAAAAGTGAAGAGTTGTGTAATTCTCTTTCTCTCGCTCTCACTCACTTTCTCTGCAGGAAGCTCTAAGAAAACTGGGGGATTGAGAGTGGTCAATGTTGTGGGATTTAAACGAGCCTATGGTTTTCTGAACGAGATCTTGGCCCTGGCCAAACCCTTCGGGACAGTAGTTCAGCACCTGGTGCTTGACGTGAGACCTGAGGTAAAGTTCGTTGGTTGATTGATTGATTGATTCATTTGACAGTGAAGCAAAAACAGTATGATGGAAGTCAACGTCTAACCATTGTGTATATTTTCTTTGTTGGTGAATCTAGGCCTTTCTGCAGCTCACTTCGGAAGAAGAGGCGAAAGCAATGGTCAATTTCTACAGTGGGAATGTAACTCCCACTGTGTGTGGGAAGTCTGTGAAAATCTACCATTCACAGACATACGCAACCATTCAGGTGAGCTCCATACCCGAAGATTCAGTTCGCCAGCCTTCTACAGTAGAAGTTGTTTGTAATGTTTCCTGTTCTTGCAGAGTGGGAGAGTGGTATACGTGGGACAGATTCCTCACTTCAAATCCTCTGATGCCTCCCTCCTGAAAATCGCTGAACCGTTCGGCAAAATCAGACGCTATTTCCTGAACAGATCTCGCAATGAGGTAATGAAATCTTTTGTTCTCTCTTCTGCTACAGGGCTTCTTAAAATGCCTCATGGGTGAATGAGTGGGATACAATAGAAATCAGATGTTTGTTTTTAATTATTTCATTTCTAGTGTTTCATTGAGATGGAACGTGGAGAGGACGCTGAGAGAATGGCTGAGACCTACAAGGACACGCCCCCTAAATTCGAAGGCAAGCGACTTACGGTGTACGTGAGCAGGAAGTACAAACAGCTGAAATACGGGTGAGTCAAATTAAACAACAGTTGGTGTATTTGCTGTGAGCGTTGTACAATTCAACTTGTTCTTTTTCTCACTACTAAGATGCTGCTCTTTTGTATGTCATGTAAAGTATGTAATGTTAAAATATGTAATGTGCTTCAACTAAATTGCTCTTCCCGAGACACTAAAGTTCAACTGAAATGGAATGCTCTTTCCCACACTAGACACCGACCACCATCCTCTGACTCTGAGGAGAAGAAGAGGCCGTCGAAGAGGGAGCGATCGGAGGGCGAAACGAGCTCCCACAGGAGCTCGGCAGCCAAAAGCTCAGCCAAGCAGGATGAAGAACCTCCAGTCAAGAAGTCCAGAGAGGAGACGGCAGACGAGCCTGAGAAGGAAGACGAGGAGAAGATGGTGGAGACGTCCACTGAGCAGAGTGAGGTCAGGAAGGAGGAGGAGGAGGTCCAGGGGGAACATGGTCAACCCTCTGAGAACTCGGCTGGACAGGAGATGGACACTGACATGGTAAGTTTATCTGGCTTAGGTTGTTCTGGAATGGCACCCTGTTCCCTATAGCACGCTACCTTTGGTCACAGTCCTATGGGGCTTTGGCCAAAAGTAGTGCGCTGTCATTCCTCAGCAATCCCTCAATGTCCAGGATGATCTGATGGGGGATTAGGACACCATTTTGGACGTAACCCTAGGCAGTTTTAGTTTGTCAACCAAAAGGTAGTAACTTAAGGGACTGACTCTATTGCTCTACGCTGTAGAACATCAAAATGGAGGACAACGAGACGCCCATTTCCATAGTGAGTGTGAGGAGCGTCGAGGAGAACGGAGAGAGTGCTGGCACACCATCCCAGGCTGAGGGGAAGCTTTCATCAACCTGCCCTGTTCCTCTGGGGCCTTATGAGCCTAACAACCCAGTGGGTAAGGACATGCTCACATTAATTCTGTTTAGAGGGAAAAGGGGTTTTCTATGCGTTTACTAAAACCTTCTTTAATAACATATAGAATAACTTAATTTTTCCGTGAGGCAACTCTTGTCTTGTCCAACACATGAACAAACATTATAAATATATACACTACATGGCCAAAAATATGTGGACACCCCTTCAAATTAGTGGATTCGGCTATTTCAGCCACATCCGTTGCTGACAGGTGTATAAAATCGAGCACACAGCCATGCAGTCTCCATAGACAAACATTGGCAGTAGAATGGCCCGTACTAAAGAGCTCAGTGACTTTCAACGTGGCACCGTCATAGCGTTCTCTGGAGTGCTGAATCACGCTTCACCATCTGGCAGTGCGACGGACGAATCTGGGTTTGGCAGATGCCAGGAGAACACTACCTGCCCCAATGCATAGTGCCAGCTGTAAAGTTTGGTGGAGGAGGAATAATGGTCTGGGGCTGTTTTTCATGGTTTGGGCTAGGCCCCTTAGTTCAGTGAAGGGAGATCTTAACATTACAGCATACAATTACATTCTAGATGATGCTGTGCTTCCAACTTTGTTGCAACAGTTTGGGGAAGGCCCTTTCTGTGCACAAAGCGAGGTCCATACGGAAATGGTTTGTTGAGATCAGTGTGGTAGAACTTGACTGGCCTGCACAGAGCCCTGACCTCAACCCCATCGAACACCTTTGGGATGAATTGGAACGCCGACTGCGAGCCAGGCCTAATTGTCCAACATCCGTGCCCGACCTCACTAATGCTCTTGTGGCTGAATGGAAGCAAGTCCCCTCAGCAATGTTCCAACATCTAGTGGAAAGCCTTCCCAGAAGAGTGGAGGCTGTTATAGCAGCAAAGGGGGGGGACCAACTTTATATTAATGCCCATGATTTTGAAATGAGATGTTCGACGAGCAGGTGTCCACATACATTTGGCCATGTAGGTTATATAATGTTATTATAATCATAGTGACTCTGTTGTCTGATTGCAGGTGTTGAATATGTGAAGATGGGGTACTACTGTAGGGTCTGTTTCCTGTTCTATTCCAACGAGGAGACAGCCAAGAAGGTTCACTGCAGCAGTCAATCTCACTACCAAAAACTCAAGGTAAACATACATTATTTGAGTCAATTAGCAGATATACCAATATATCTGAGCAGTCATTTTAAAACACACCAATACGTCTCTCACTTGGTATCAAAACAGTTTTCAGCATAAGAAAAACGATATGCTCTGAAACGTAACTGCTGTCCCTGTTTATTTTCAGAAACATCTGGAAAAAGAGAAGGCCAAAGCTCAAAGTACCACAGGGATGAAGACTGTGTAGGATATTACAAGTGTTGAGCTGTTAATCAATTGTTTATGCGTGGATAGAGTTAGTTTGTAACGCTAGAGTGGATGTTCCAGAAATTTTTTAGGCTTTCATGTTTAGCCATACAGCTCTGTCACTTTTTCTTTTAACCAATATACTGTACCAGGAGGAACCAACTATGAATGGCTCTGGAGAATGTATGGAGTTTTGTATGCCTGGTTTTGTTTAATGTTTTCTGACGACTCATCTTGCTAAATGTTTTATTTGTATTAAAGTCATATGACTACATCCCCTCAGATGCTGGACTTTTGTTGTGATAAGAAATAATGTAACCAGTTATAAAGAAAGGAGGTTGATCATTTTAACTAATAGAATAAATTAGTTAGTAATAAACTCATTTTACGTTTGAGTCATTTAGCAGACGCTCTTATCCAGAGCGATTTACAGTTAGTGAGTGCGTACATTTTCATACTGCCTCCCATGCAGACGGTCTGATAATTGCATTGCTTGGAAGTACACCGAACAAAAATATAAATGCAACATGTAACGTGTTGGTCCCATGTTTCATGAGCTGAAATAAAAGATCCCAGAAATTTTCCATACGCACAAACAGCTTATTTATCTAATGTTGTTGTATACATTTGTTTACATCCCTGTTAGTGAGCATTTCTCCTTTGCCAAGATAATCCATCCACCTGACAGGTGTGGCATATCAAGAAGCTGATTAAACAGCATGATCATTACACAGGTGCACCTTGTGCTGGGGACAATAAAAGGCCACTCTAAAATGTGCCGTTTTGTCACACAACACAATGCCACAGATGTCTGAAGTTTTAAAGGGAGTGTGCGTTTGGCATGCTGACTGCAGGAATGTCCACCAGAGCTGTTGCCAGAGAATTGAATGTTCATTTCTCTACCATAAGCTGCCTCCAATGCCATATTTAGAGAATTTGGCAGGAAGTACAACTGGCCTCACAATCGCAGACCACGTATAACAAGACCAGGACCTCCACATCCTGCTTCTTCACCTGTGGGATGGTCTGAGACGAGCAACTCGTACAGCTGATGAAACTGGGTTTGCACAACCGAAGGATTTCTGCACAAACTGTCAGAAACCATCTCAGGGAAGCTCATCTGCATGCTCGTCGTCCTCACCAGGGTCTTGACCTGACTGCAGTTTGACGTCGTAACTGACTTCAGTTGGCAAATGCTTACCTTCGATGGCTACTGGCACGCTGGAGAAGTGTGCTCTTCACCGATGGATCCCGGTTTCAACTGTACCGGGCAGATGGCAGACAGAGTGTATGGCGTGGTGAGGGCGAGGGGTTTGCTGATGTCAACGTTGTGAACAGAGTACCCCATGGGGGTTATGGTATGGGCAGGCATAAGCTACGGACAACGAACACAACTGCATTTTATCGATGGCAATTTGAATGCACAGAGATACCATGATGAGATCCTGAGACCCATTGTCGTGCTATTCATCCACATAACTCATGTTTCAGCATGATAATGTACGGCCCCATGTCGCAAGGATCTGTACACAATTCCTGGAAGCTAAAAATGTCCCAGTTCTTCCATGGCTTGCATACTCACCAGACATGTCACCAATTGAGCAGGTTTGGGATGCTCTGGATCGACGTGTACGACAGCGTGTTCCAGTTCCCGCCAATATCCAGCAACTTCGCACAGCCATTGAAGAGGAGTGGGACAACATTCCACAGGCCACAATCAACAGCCTGAAACAACCCTATGTGATGGAGATGTGTTCTGCTGCATGAGGCAAATGGTGGTCACACCAGATACTGACTGTTTTTTAAATCCACACATCTACCTTTTTTAAAGGTATCTGTGATCAACAGATGCTTATCTGTATTCCCAGTCATGTGAAATCCATAGATTAGGAGGGCCTAATGAATTAATTTAAATTGACCGATTTCCTTATATGAACTGTTGCGTTTATATTTTTGTTGAGTGTGTATTGGCATCATGTTACTGGAGGAGAATGACCCCGTGTAGCTCAGTTGATAGAGCATGGCGCTTGCAACGCCAGGGTTGTGGGTTCGTTTCCCACGGGGGGCCAGTATGAAAATGTATGCACTCACTAACTGTAAGTCGCTCTGGATAAGAGCTTCTGCTAAATGACTAAAATGTAAAAAAAGAAAAAAAATGGTTACAAAGAAATGTGTCGAGAGCCCCTTCTATTGGTGAGCATGCACTTTACACGTACAGTTCCTGTTTGGACCAGGAGATGGTGCTGTTGTTCCTAATATACACGAGTCAACAGGACTGATTTAAGGATGATCGTTTTTCTAAGGATTACTTACTTGTGATTATTACTTTTCCCAGTGACTTCACAAATTGAAATGCTGCTTTTTCCAAAAACAAACCAATGTCTGTATAAATCTATCAATATTTTGTATTTGACATGCAGTTAAGAGGTATCTAAGTTCAACATGCATAGCTAAAAGCATAGCTATTTAGAGGATAATTTAGGGACCACCAAATCCACCTTTCATCCGGATGGATCCATCCTATTTTCTGTATCCAGTGCCCTTCACTACACCAATTTCCCCTGAATGGCAGCCTATGGACAAAAGTCTGGTCGCCAGCGTGGTGAAAAATGATCAATCCTGGGAGGCTTGGAGAGAGGAGAAACCAAAATGTGAGTTGTATCTTAGAGGTCCTGACATTCACTTTCTCTTCTCTCTTTCCAGTTTTTAGAGTGTGTTCTTTGAGCTGGAATATAAAGGCAGTAGCAGTAGTGGCTATAGATCAGACTGCAGCACCATTGTCTCCTGGGCAGGTCACCCAACCCCCAGAATGGGGCTATGCATGTAGATGAGCGCAGGGCAGATGTCCACAAATATTTTGGGGTTTTGTTTTCGGGGAGTTCCAGAACAAAAAGGGTCGTCCGTCCCTAACCGAGGAGGGCCCTCTCCTTGGGGACTTCCTATTCCGTCTGCGTGCCACATTCTTTCAGAGGAGAGGACCAAGCAAGGTTTGTATACCACTAGGCTTGATATCAAGGAGAGTGCTGTAGTCGCAGTGGGAGAATGTGTACAGATGTCCCAGCAGTGTCACAAAGTTCATGACCCTGGTTTGTTGCAGACACAACCTCATTGTATCTCATCATCAGGCTTTGACTAGGACCCTGCATGATATTAGTATAAGGTCTACGTGTGTACTGTTGCCTAAATCTTATGCTTATTTTTTGATTGACCTGTTGGGACTGCAGCATAATGGTACCGGCATTATAATGCATGTTCAGTGGCTGGGAGTGATATTGGTAGTTCTGCAGGTTTACAGAATAATGGTTGTAATTAAAAAGTCAAGAAAAGGTTATTCATTTCTTAATGGATATGTTGTGTGACAGAGAGATAAGTTACATTGGAATTAGACTCATGCTGGCCTTCCTGCACACTATCATAAGGTTCTTGGAAACAAAGAGGGTTGATTCCAAGCATTTGCCCCCAAAATCCTCCTGAAATCAATCACTCCAAACCATCCTGGCCACTAAATCACCTTTTAAGTGATAATCGTATTATCCTGGCTTTTAGCAGGATACCTTTCAAGGTAAAGTGATCACCGTGAAGTGGTGTTGCCTCTATCCCTTAAAGTGACACTTCACCCTCCGGTGTCACCAGCCAGACATACATCTGAATGTGTTCCTGTGGCTAATGAAGAGATATCTTCCTTTATTTTCAAATTCCATTCAAGGACTGACAAAAAAATATTCTAAACATTAACTCTTCCAAATAATTATCTAGTTTATTATTACCATTTCAAGGCTTCTGTTTAGATATTACTGTAGATACCCTCAAATACACAGAGGAAAAAAAATAAAAATAAGCAATGGTTTATACTCACAATAAAACCTGCATGAGCAAGTTTGTGAAATGCTTTTCTGAAAAGTGTGAAAAAGGTATTTCTTGGGACAAAGTAGATTGAGTTTCTCTTGTTGCTTTTTGAGAGAGGGAGAGAGAGAGAGAGATAGGATTAAGTTCATTCTCACTGCCAGTCCGTTCATCACCTAACCGATGCCCTCCACCATGCAGCCCTCTCAATGTGCTGCCGTGTTTTGTGATGGCCGATCCAGTCCACTGAACAATAATAACAATGATCAGTGACTCCAGAGATAATATCCCCAGGGTAGGAGTAGCCTCCTATTCAAACTTAGTTCAAGTTGCATAGGCCTTGTTCCACATAGATGCACTTGGTGGCTGACACAGGTGTCATATGCAATGTTATGTGACATTTTTCACAACCATTGCTTGATTCTAAGAGTCTTGCATGGACATGTATGGATTAACAACCAAGGTGATGTATTGGTTGATATCCTAAGCATCCATCCTAGATTGAACATTTGACAATCTGAAATGTCTATGACCATAGTAGACTTTTATAGAAAAAGATTAGTGGAGGTTTCAGTCTAGAGTTATAAAGCCTAAAGGAGGGGCTGATTGGTTCTGTATGGGGTTTCAGTCTAGAGTTATAAAGCCTAAAGGAGGGGCTGATTGGTTCTGTATGGGGTTTCAGTCTAGAGTTATAAAGCTAAAGGAGGGGCTGATTGGTTCTGTATGGGTTTCAGTCTAGAGTTATAAAGCCTAAAGGAGGGGCTGATTGGTTCTGTATGGGGTTTCAAGTCTAGAGTTTAAAGCCTAAATGAGGGGCTGATTGGTTCTGTATGGGGTTTCAGTCTAGAGTTATAAAGCCTAAAGGAGGGGCTGATTGGTTCTGTATGGGGTTTCAGTCTAGAGTTATAAAGCCTAAAGGAGGGGCTGATTGGTTCTGTATGGGGTTTCAGCCTAGAGTTATAAAGCCTAAAGGAGGGGCTGATTGGTTCTGTATGGGGTTTCAGTCTAGATTCATAAAGCCTAAAGGAGGGGCTGATTGGTTCTGTATGGGGTTTCAGTCTAGAGTTATAAAGGCTAAAGGATGGGCTGATTGGTTCTGTATGGGGTTTCAGTCTAGAGTTATAAAGCCTAAAGGAGGGGCTGATTGGTTCTGTATGGGGTTTCAGTCTAGAGTTATAAAGCCTAAAGGAGGGGCTGATTGGTTCTGTATGGGGTTTCAGTCTAGAGTTATAAAGCCTAAAGGAGGGGCTGATTGGTTCTGTATGGGGTTTCAGTCTAGAGTTATAAAGCCTAAAGGAGGGGCTGATTGGTTCTGTATGGGGTTTCAGTCTAGAGTTA